GAAATACCACCTACAGCCGCTGAACTAAAAGTGAACATAAATCCTCCAACAAAAGTGGCAGTTTTGAACGCCATAAAGCTACTGAAATGTGGGAAAGCAGCAGGACAAGATGGGATCCCGCCAGAAGCACTGAGAACAGACGCAGAGACAACAGCGGACATGCTCACACCACTATTGCAGAAGGTGTGGAAGGAAGAGAAGGTACCTGACGATTGGAAGAAGGGTTACCTTGTCAAACTGCCGAAGAAGGGAGACCTCAGTGTTTGCAAGAACTGGCGCGGAATCACTCTTCTGTCCGCCCCAAGCAAAATATTAAGCTGCATCATCCTGGAGAGGCTAAAGGATGCACTGGATTCAAAACTACGACTGGAACAGGCAGGCTTCAGGAAGAACAAATCATGTGCGGACCAAATTGCAACGCTTCGCATCATCATAGAACAGAGCATAGAATGGCAGTCAGCTCTCTACCTCAACTTTATCAACTTTGAGAATGCCTTTGACAGCGTCGACCGAGAAGTAATTTGGAAACTGCTTCACTACTACAGAGTATCGCAAACCTTTATCAGCCTCATTCAACAACTATATGAAGATGCCACATGCCAAGTAATTCACAATGGAAAGCTCAGTGAGGCTTTTGAAGTGAAGACAGGAGTGAAACAAGGTTGCCTACTATCCCCCATGATATTCCTGATTGAGGTCGACTGGATACTGCAACAAACAGTGGGGGGCGAGAAGAGGGGCATACGCTGGACTGCGGAGAACCTACAAGATTTGGATTTCGCCAGGGATGACTTGTGCCTGATGTCACACAAACTTGAAGATGTACAGGTGAAAACTAACAAGTTGGCAGAAGAGGCAGGGCAGCGAAGAGGGGACTTCAAGTGAATACAGAGAAGACAGAGGTGATGAAGATACCGCACCACCACCACCAACAAACTTCAATCACCATCAACGGGAGAAACTTAAAGGAAGTAACCTCCTTCACCTATCTAGGAAGCACTGTTTCAACTACAGGTGGGACAGACGAGGATGTCAAAGTCAGAATCGGAAAAGCAAGACAGGCGTTCATTAGCCTGAAACCAGTGTGGAGATCTTCTGCACTGCACTCAGCATGTGGAACAAGATCCGGAAATGGAGATAGATTGGGCATGCACTGAGCAGGCCCACTGGAGACATCATACGTCAGGCCAGTTGCTCGAGTGGAATCCCCATGGTTAGCGGCGAGTTGGACGTGCGAGGGTGACATAGAGGAGATCGTGTGGGGAGGAAATGAGAGCTGCTGGGCTGTCGTGGAGCCAGGTTGGAAAGATTTCAGAGAACAGAGGTTACTGGAGACGTGCTACTGAAGCCCTATGTTCCACTAGGAACCCAAGGGACTAATAATAATAATAATAATAATAATAATAATAATAAAATATATAATAATAATAGTAATAAAAGCTTCTCTTATGTATATCACCTTGTTACTTAAGTTTGTTGACTTAGTGGAGAGACTTCTTGCTGGATTACTGAAAGATTCGACTAAACCCACCTACACCCATGTAGGGTGAGGTGATTTAAAGTCTGAATATCTATTGGAGTGTAATGCCTTTTTGTGGACACTTGTGTTTATTCAATTTTATCATAGATATTCTTATGGAGGTTTCCCTCTCGTTACCTGATTACACAGAGGTTGACCTAATCACGGGAATTTCCGTTAGATCTAGAATACCTAGATGACACAGTCCTTTAAGGTGAAGACGCTGACAAGATGCAGAGTCTTCTTAACACTGAGTGGGAATTGGAGAATATTCGGGGTGCGTTTCTCACCACCGAAATTCAGATTGTTGCTCCAGGATTGGTTTTCAACGGTGCCTCGGCTAACAATAGAGAGTGTAGTAGTTGAGTGTGTTGACCACTTCACTTAACTGGGTAGTCAGATCAGCTTCGGTGCATTGGTCAGTGGCCGGTGAGATGTCTGCGCGAATGCAAAAGGCTCGGTTGACTTCTGCCAACTTACGACACCTGTGGCGCCGCTGTGATATCCGATTGTCTACTAAGGGTGGCGTGTACTGCACAGCAGTTCGGTCTGTTCTACTGTATGGCTGTGAAACATGGCCATTGATGGTGGAAGATATGAGAAGGCTTCAGGTGTTTGACCACCGTTGCCTTCGTAATATAGGCCGTATTCCGTGGTATCATCACCTGAGCAACACAAAAGTCAGGTATAGAGTTTTAGGGAGAAGAGGTAAGTCGGTTGACGAGGTTATGAACCTTGATTGACTGAGATGGTTGGGACACGTACTACGTGTGCCTAGTCACCGATTGCCTCGTGACACAATGTTGGCCGGAGTAGGCCCAGGTTGGAAAAAGGCCCGAGTTGGCCAGACTGAAACATGGCATGAATGTATGAAGTGTTTGACTGTTGGTTTGAGCCATGTAGAGGGGCGATGCAGACTGTGTGGTTGGGGGTCCACGGGATAAGAGGAAGCAGTGGTTGGAGATTGACTCTAGGTGATCAGACGGCTGAGGATGAATGTCAGTGGCGCAGATGTATCCCCATACACATTATCTTTCCTCATCTTAACGACGCTCTACCGAATCTCATCATTTCCTCATTCTTCCTTTCTCTCTTTGAGTACTTTATATTTCTTCATCTTTCACTTCACTGCCTTTTTACTTGTTGTACTACTGATATAAGGTGTGGCGGCAACTTGTAACGTTATGCAGTAATGCCTGGTCCTATGTTGATGGATGATGACATCAGCCTAACTTGGGAGAAAGAGAATAATAATCAACTGCCGTTCCTAGGTATACCACTGGGTCGACGACTAGATGGTTCAATAAGACGGTCAGTTTACAGAAAACCTACATGAACAGGACAGACAATACCTGAATTTTCACAGATTTTGTCCAATCCAATACAAGCGAGGTCTAATAAAATACCTGTTCAATAGGATAATATCGTATCAGTACATCATATAGGATGGATGAAGATATCAAATTAGTGACTAAAACACTTATGGGAAACGGATATCCGTTGAAGTTTACAAACCATTGTAGAGGTCAAATAGCATCAAAGGCAATTTTATACACGGTTCCTAAGAAAAGTCCCCATATCACTCTACTATACAGAGTGGAAGTTGAACAGTATAGTTCTGAGACGTAGGCTAACACCAGCTATCGGAAAAACATATTATGTAAAAAACAAAAAACGCATGCTTCACCACAAACCTAAACATTGCATCAATGATTACGTCACATCCCATTGTGTTTACCAATTTACATGTGTGAGTGTGTGCGGTCACACATACATTGGGAGGAGTAATCGAGTCAGTTGAACGAAAACGTGAATGTCCGATAGCTCTGATTGCTTACACCGGGAAAAGAACAATATTTCTCTTCCTCGTTGGGGATATGGAAAAATCTTCTCTTTTCCACCGTCTATCATTATTCATGATCGTTGCGAAGACTGTTACTGAGGTAATATCTAAACTACTTCCGCCGATATATATTCCTACTTATAATCTCCTTTCAATTACTATACTGGCTTGGATTGGTCGGGTCTCTATTTAGCACATAAGCTGTTAGTATCGCCTGAGCATTCATTATGATGCGATTGAGTATTGATGACTAGCGTCTACACATGAGTCGATATGCTAACGGACTACAATCAACCGGAAACTACAAATATTGTGACTTAGCGCCCACCGGAATTTGAAATGATGGATCCAAGTTGTAGTGCGGACACTATTGCTTACTAGGATTCAGAGACATCGTGATAATGAGTCTCAAATGTTTAAAACATCCGCCAAGTTTCCTACTAGTAGCCTGCATGATGACTACCACAAAATCTACTGTCACCAATTATTCCAGTAGGAGGAGATGGACAAATCGAGGCTATAGAGATATACTGACTTTTAGTAACCTCTAGTGGTAAAGTTACTGTTCCTACAAACAACTGAACGTGACACTAAGCTGCATTAGGATGACAATCATATGCGCATTTCATCTTCATTATACACATTCTAGTGAATTTTCTCCAAATTCACTCAGTAACCTTGTGAACATTCATAGAATAGGCAGAAATGAAGCATATTTATTGTATCCTACTACTATCTAGCTGAACAAAATCACTTCGGTAGGTGGAACAGTATTCGAACCAATCAAATCCACTCCACATTAATGAAACCCAAGAGACAGTTAGAAAGAAGAATAACAATAATGATCCGTTTAATCATTTGGCTCATTTCATACACGTTGAAATTAGTGAGTAGTAGTAGTACTAGTCGTTAAGACCAAAGAAAATAACACACGGGATAGAAAGAAGCTGAACAGTAAGTATGATTGATGATTAATCAGTCAGTTGGCTTACTTTTGTACACTTTTCTCATATGAAAACAATAAAATTAAAAAAAAAGGCGACAATAATCATAAAAAAACAAAATTCATCATCTTTCAATTACAGTGATAATTGTATTTTTTTTTGTTGTTGTTCTAAACCCAGATACTACTTAATAACTAATTAGTAGTACAAAGTAGTATATCATCGTTGATGGTAGGTAGGTAGTTACATCGCTCATCAGCAGTATTGAGCAAATAAATTTTCAGTTTCATTTATCATTTCATCAAGTGATTAATTATTACACGGATTAGTAGCAAAAGGAATAGGGGGGGGGAAGGCAAGGAGGGGTGTAGCACTGGCAGAAACATCAGCACCACACACACACACACCTGTAAAACAAAATTTTACGCTTACTCAACCTTAGAGTATCAGCAAATAATTACACATTAGGGTGTAAAATAAAATCAATGCAATGGATTTTCTTTTTTTTTTTTATCCGGATCAAGGTCAAGCCATTTTCATATAAATTAACGGATTAATTACAAATGAGACTGAAAGTCCTGAGTGGATAGACAGGTGTGTGTGTGTGTGTGTGTGTGTGTGTGTGTGTGTGAGTATTTCTTTCCCTATGATGACATGAACAAAATACCAAGCGATGAATTGAAATCAGTATTTATCATAAATATGGTTTTGATATTGATGGTGAAACTATTTCATGTGATGTTAAATATCCACTGTGTAAACTGCCTGCAGCTGATCCAACTGTTAAATATGTTGTAGCTGATTGTGGTACATTAGCAATAAATAAGGCATGACCTTGATCACGATAATCTGCCCAATTAGGATAACTTTCAAGGATTGAAGTGACCTTGAAGAAATTTTTATGTGAAAAATATACAAGAATATAAGAAAAACTTTGTAAGTATAGCTTACATGACTGATTAAGCAAGCAAAGAAATATATTAATATTGATTGGTCAGAGGAGTGTAACCAATCACATGTGGTCTAGTCCTGAGTGCAGACCGAATTCTATCGATCATATTTGCAATGTAGCAACAGAACTAGAAATCTCAGCATCGCGGTGTACATTATTAGATGTTAGTTGGTTGAAGGTAATCGGCAGAAAGCCCTGCTTGACCTAGGTTTCGTACCTTTTGGTATTCGTCAGCAAGGCGTATCTGCGCAACCTCGACGGAACTGATGCCCCACCTGATATTCGATCCCGCGTCAGCCAGTGTTGTGGTCAGCGACTTTACCACTGAGCTATTCGGGCTGCGATTGACCTCGCGTAGGACTGGCTTACATGTGTTGACTTGTCAGGGGAGTGTAACCGACTTCATGTTGTCTAGTCCTGAGTACAGACCGAATTCTATCGATCATACTTGCAATGTAGCAACAGAACTAGAAATCTCAGCATCGCGGTGTACATTATTAGATGTTAGTTGGTTGGAGGTAATCGGTAGGAAGCCCTGGACCTAGGTTTCGTGCTTTTTGGCATTTGTCAGCAAGGCGTATCTGCGCAACCTCACCTTGCTGACGAATATCAAAAGGTACGAAACCTAGGTCTAGGGCTTCCTGCTGATTACCTTCAACCAACTAACAAAGAAATATATTCCGTTTCAATTAGATCTTGGACTGTACACCAATAGATATAGGGATTAACAATTCAATCAATTGGGGGTGGGGTGATGAACAATAATCATACTCATGAAGATGATAAGTTTTACAAATTAAGAGTAATTGAAATTGGTAATATGTTAAGTAGGTTATTCTTAGTTGAATGAGTGTTCAGTTATAAACAATCAGTGATTACGTGATAATAATAATAATAATATAAATGAATATTGATGAAAACAAGGGGGGAGGTGAGAAGAGGTGTACAAAGTTATCCTATAAGTTACATCATGTTGACATCCATGGTAATGAAAGTGGTCGAACAAACTTCTTTGGAATACAAAGATTAGGTTTGTTTATCAAGGTGGATTGGTTGCATCGCCTGTGCTATGTGTGAGGTAAGCGAGTGGATAATCCAAGTATGTGGTAGTATCATCAACTCTGATTGCCTAGGGCATGGAAAATACACTTACTTGTTGACAGATTTTAATTTACCTGGTAGTTTGTATTAAAGTTGAGAAAAGGTAGCGCTTATCAACGTTCAACTATATCTTATCAATGTAATTGAATCCATCGAAGTCTTCTTGTCAATCGTACATTATTCTTACAATCTGTCTATTTTAGTTGATTATTGCGAAAATTGCAACAATTTGAAAAATTTGAACCGCAACCGGATTCGAACTAGCGATCACATGGCATCCGGTTCCATGATCTACCCAACTAAGGTGCTACTGACCGACTACCATGTTGAATTCATGATGTGTTACTATTGCTTGATCGTACTCACACTGGCTGCCTAGTCAGGACTTCTCATCTCAATCTAACTGAATTCGAATGACAAGAGGGAGTACCTCATATTGATTCTCTGAGATAGTCATGTCTACAAAGGAAATCAGTCATCCTCTTATTCATCTGTACTAACAAAACAAAGCAAAACGAACATACTGAATAGATTATTAGACGTGTACTCACTTTACCACCGTATATAGCACTGTATTGCATAGCTTTTAATGCTTTAATCAGATAAGCTCGAGTTTGTCCTGGTTCGCGTACTGATGGTGGAAAACCATTTTGTAGGATACGTAAGACAAATCCAATTAGATCATGTTTTAAAGCCTTAAGCAAAAAATCAAATTAAAATAATAATAATAATGGATTAGGCAAAGATACATCTGCGCCACTGACATTCATCCTCAGCCGTCTGATCACCTAGAGTCAATCTCCAACCACTGCTTCCTCTTGTCCCGTGGACCCCAACCACACAGTCTGCATCACCCCTCTACATAGCTCAAACCAACAGTCAAACACTTCATACATTCATGCCATGTTTCAGTCTGGCCAACTCGGGCCTTTTTCCAACCTGGGCCTACTCCGGCCAACATTGTGTGACGAGGCAATCGGTGACTAGGCACACGTAGTACGTGTCCCAACCATCTCAGTCAAGGTTCATAACCTTGTCAACCGACTTACCTCTTCTCCCTAAACTCTACACCTGACTTTTGCATTGCTCAGGTGGTGATACCACGGAATACGACGTATGCTACGAAGGCAACGGTGGTTAAACATAAGCTTCATAAACTGCTTTAGGTCAACTACTAAGCGTCTTTAACAGCATAAAAATTGAGAATTGATCAGTTAAAGCCTGATCTCTGAGTTCTAAGGTGGTACGTACAATCTCTCAACTTAACTTCTTCATAGTATATCTCCAAGACATTCTATTTAGTATTTATTCATCTATTGTAATCCTATAAACAATTTTCGATGACCTTGTATGTTGACCTTCTAGCCATAATCACCTTGTAATTTTACTGACAATTTTTGACGACCTTGTATGATTTTGATAGTGTGTTCTGTTATACACAGTTGGGAGAGAGACAAATTGCATGACTCATTGTGTATGTGAATTCTGTTTAAGACACGTGGAAGTAAACGTGAAGTGACTTTAAACACCATCCTTACTATAGGGAATACAGCTTGGCCATTGTGTTAGATTATAATTCTATTTCAGTCTGTTTATTAGAATTGTCACACAGTGAAATGTTTCCGATAGTAGAATTTATTATTCATATAAGTGAATGAATAATATGAATACAGACAATAAATAACTTCCAGTAGTGTTAACGTTATCTAATACTGTTTCACGATGTCGCTATTCTTATAAACAGATCAAAATGGAATAACCAATTACATTTCTCTATCCTATTTAAAACTACCTTCTTAGCTGAAATTCTGAAATCTGATTGGTTATTGTAGTAGTTGCTTCAGTGGCCTTGAAAGTCAGCCTTAAATGCGCGATGAATCACGTGCAAGGTCAGTGTTAAGACTGAATCAGTAGAATCATCACGTGCTTCAGGCAACTACTCTTAGACTGAGTCATAACAAAAGAGAATATAAAAACGGTGATAAAAACAATGAAAAACAAATTTTTTTTCATATACCTGTTCAATTAATGGATCCGAGTATTGTGTATCGAATAGACAGAATAATGTCTCACCGATTAGGCCTAATTCTTCACCAATACATCGATTAACAACACGTATTAATCCACCAATCATATCACTTTCAGACATTGACTGTACACATAACTAAATAGAAAATGAAGTATAGGTTTATGTTTAAATATGCATATTTACACGTATTTTATTATGATTCGATGAATAGAACAAGTTTTTGGTTGACCTACCGCAGTTACGCATAAACTACTAACAATGATCTGTCAGGCAAAATGTGAATTCCAGATCCATATTGAAAGACACAGGAAAGTCACAGTATGATCATAAATAGTTCCCTTTTTAAAGTATTGACTAGCGCATAGGAGTCATATATGATACTGATACGTAGCGACAAAAAAGGCAGCCAATAGGGGAGTTGTTTTCAAGTCATGATCAGATCATGATTTATGCCTGCGCTAACATGAGAACCTGATTGGAGAAATTCGACCTCATACAAGAAATCGGATTGGTTCATTTATGGCTTCACTTTCTGAGAGTTTTGTAAATATATATATATATATATATATATATATATATATATATATATATATATATATATATATGTCATATGTAATGAAAGTTGTCGCTGTTCTTGCAGTCACAGGCCATCTTTTGTCTTCTGATTTTACGCGGCTCAGCGAAGCAAAAGGTACTGAGGGAGGTCAGTCGTAAAGGTATTCAGTTAAGGTGTCTATTGAGTCTCAGTATTCATTATACCCACGCATGCGACCCCACTCGGTCACAACAGATACGCCCCCACCCGTTGGTGTCAAACATGGATTGTCCTAGTCTTCACGAAAGGTGAGAAGTCCTCTTACGATAATCACATAGGAATCTCTCTGACCAATATAATATCTAAGATTATAAGTTCTTTTATCATTAGAGCTCAGGGACAGCAAACCCGAGGTAACCAGGCAGATATCAAGCTAGACCATAGGTGTATCAACGAAAATTTCACTCTCCGCCATGTTCTGGAACACAGACACACTTACCAACTACCGACACCACTGGAATTTCTCGCCCTGAGACCGATACTCCATTGTTAATCGGGAGGTCGGATCGCAGTCTCCTACTGAAAGGCGTCGGCATGTTACAGCTTATGGTGAGTCCTATGTTTCAAGTGATGGCCATCAAGGATCTCTACTCTCTCTCTCTATGCTCATTCGACTTAATCATAAATACACCTATGAAGATCTCCTTTTTGTCGTTTAACTTTACAGAGGTTGACCTTATCACAGGTGACTTCTTAGTAGACATAGAATATGTAGATGACACAGTCCTGTTAAGTGGAAATTCAGAATGCTCAGGAAGCATTTCTCATCGCCTCTGAGTTCAAATTCTTGCTCCAGGCATGTTCTTCACTAGTGCTCCGGCTAACAATAGGGAATCAGGTGGTTGGAACCGTCGACGATTTCACTTACTTGGGAAGTCGGCTCGGTTTTGGTGGAGAGTTATAGTGGTCGATGAAATCTTTGCACAGATAAAAAAAGTTTCGACTGTCTGTCTGTGTATGTTTGCAATTCTGAGCTATGGGGGATTACCCTTTCATAACACTGTATCATAAAGTTCCATGATGTTCTAACAAATATTGACTCAAGACAACTATTCTTGATCTTACGGAAACATCTCACCACTTCCCTAAAAAACTGTCAAAGCAAGTAAACAGTGGACAGCGTGGAAGCGATCTGCACCAAGTTCAAACACATACATACAACGGTCACTATAAACAAAGGCTTTCTGAACATATTCAGCTTACAGACCTAACTTATCGCAGTTGTAGAGTAGAACTCACAACACTGATATATAACAGCCAAGTTGATATCGGGGAACCCCATCTAACCTCATCTCTAGTTCGAAGCAATGTAAAGAGGTGACTGTATGCCTACAATTTACCTTAGTTGCCTTCATATTGGGCTTAAAAGATACTGGGTAAATGTATTTCAAGAAGGCTATTCTCCAACAGATAGTTCTAAAGCACAACTCTGTTCACAGTGAATCAAAGGCAGTTTCTTACATCAAGCCAAACAACGATTATTAGCCTGTAATACTTGTAGAGGTTTCCCAGCATAGGACACAAGAGAGACACGTGTACTGAAAAACAGCCTATCTCAGTCAACCTAGTCGGGGGACTGACTACAGTTTTTTCTGTATACTTGGAAACTACTAAAGGTTATATTTCAAGTTGGCAATCATATCATGAACTGAAGTCAATTGCCTCCTGGTACGTGATTCCTCAGTAGTGCGCACCGATGACCCCGCCCCGGCAGGGATAGAACCCAAGAACTTCTGGTTCTGCAGCCAGCACGTCAGAATTGAGCCATCACTGGGTCGGAATCCAGTGATCACCATCAGTTCACGATGTATAGCACAACCTCTATCCAATGCCGTCGTTGTTGAGTAACTGTCTTTATGCCCAACTTGATTCAACCAACCAGTCCGGACTTCTCACAAAGAACTTCAGGAATCTCATCTCAAAACAAAATCAAAGTAGAACCTTGCACACAAGTGCATGACCTCAAGTTGCTACATTTAACAATAGTATACAAATAACAGGTGGATAGAAAAGGGGTGATATCAAAGTAGGTAAGGATGAGTGCTTTAGATGTTAAGGAGTGGATACATCTGAACCATTATGACCAATTTCCAGACATGCCATCGAGAGTCCTCAACACTGATTCATATCGTCTCAAGGACCCCAACCAGGCAGTTTGCATCTCCCCACACGCCCCATATCAATTGTAAGAGACTTCATAGACTGGTGTGACGTCTTGGTCTGGCCACCAACATAATCAAGCTTCTCCTAGCATGACAAGTAGAGGTAGCCAGTGGCTCAGCGTGCACAGTACATTTCCAAACGATAACACTCGATTAAGGTTCATATCCCCTGCCTGATCTCAACACTGCTGCCCACACGGTGGTCCCATCCAGTACGAGGAATTCGACGAAAACACCTGTGATTAAAACCCAGTAACCGTTTCATATATTCCACTTCTAACGGTCATGTCTCAGAGTGGACTGCAGTACAGTTTACTCGTGTTTTGATAGATGGTCGGATATCTCAGTCAGATAACGCAAGTTAGAAAATACCAAACGGGCCTTCTGTATCCGAGTTGAGATTTCGTCAGTGACCAGATTGCTAAGGCTGATGAAACTTCCCAAGTAACTGAAGCGGTCGACATATTCTACCACTTCACTCCCAATTCTTAAACTGGGAGTGGTTACAGCAGACCACTCCTGGTGTATCATCTTACATTCGACAGGTGTCAGTGAAACGCATATCAAGGATACTCAAAGTTTGCTCAACGCGTTTAGAAGACCTTGCATTTTGTTAGCATCTTCACTCAGCAGGACAATATAGTCTGCATACTCTAAGTAAACCCGATGACCATCATGACCATCATGACAATAACACTTCCCACAGTTACTTCACGTGTTATGAAGGCTACTTCAAAGTGGATTTTGCTGGTCAACATAATTCCTCGAAGGTGTGTATATCTCCTATTTCGAAAGTGTGCTCCACATCAGCTCGAACAACACACTGCAATATGATTTCACCTCTGAAACCATTTGATCGCACTTTCGACACCATAGTCCACACACTGAATCGCATGTCTGCAGAACATCAACGACTAAGTAACCTACAGTGTAATACAAGTTTATCCTAATCCCGATGTCACGGTGGATGTAAAGTACATACAGTTCGCCACACATATCATTCCTCCGCATCACCCCCTCTAGCCAAACACATCTTGGCCTTATCTTGCCTGTTCATCAGCCCAGTAACTCATCCGATACCAACCAACTCTCGAAGAAGACACCTCCATTGCCTTGTTGACATTGTGGTGCCTGATATCTCGTCACATCTTGTCCACATTAACAACATCGATGCATAGACTGACTGTAATGTTGGGGACCATAAGAACGGTCTTTGCCTCCAACACACACACACACACACACACACACACACACACACACACACACACACACACACACACAAGGAGGAGGTGGTCTGATGATAGAGAGAAATGGCTAGTCTGGAGAGCGACCAGTCAAAATGTACTTTATGTTATCACGTCTACAGATAGACAGGGAATTATCTATAGATTAGATGTGTTCACCTTTGTTTCTTTCGATCTCAATACACTTTTCTATACGTCTATCGTGTTTGTTCCATTAACTAGTCGAGTCAGGTGGGGTATACATTAAAAAAATGATGAACTTACCTTACTAGCTGACATTTGATGTAAAAGGATGACAACAGCTCTAGCACCTTCAGGATCATCTACTTTAGCTAATAATTCTAATATTCTGTGTACATTTCCAGAACGTGGTAATGAGTCAATTAAACCTGGACGATCAGTTAGTACAGTTTTACAGGCTCGAGTTAACAATCTAACTAATAGATTCGATTCTGGTAACTGATGTATCGCCTAGAAAAGATAAAAAGAAAGACAATGTAATAAAAGGAGTTTATCTATGTAATAAAAAATAACTTGAGAGAAAAAACAAAAACACACAACCCTAACCAACTAACATCCATTAAAAGTCAATCATGATCCTGAGCCTCATAGATAAATTGTTGGCCAATATTATAAAATGATCCAGTCGAGTTCAGTCAGTATTCACTACTAGACAACATGAAGTTGACTACCCTTTAGTGACCAATCTAGTCGCATAGCAGGTCATTCATGGGTTGAAGAATAGTGGTAGTGTTACTGACTGCAACACTGAGGTTTTAGACATACCATGTTGAACAGAGAAATAAAAGGGAGAGAGAAAATCAACACAGAACCTTGTCAAAACATTCAAGCCTTAGAAAACATCGAAGAGTACAATACATCTGAGCCATTGTAATCAATTTTCAGTTATGTCACTACTAGTCTTTAACCAATGATTTCCATCATCTCGAAGACTTCAGTCAGACAGTCTACACTTCTTAACACATCTCAAACTAACACTTAGGAAGTTCATGCAGTGATCCCGTATCTTGGACTGATCATCCTGAAACCTTATCTAAATCCCCTTAGCGTCATATCCATGTTCAAGGTTTCAGTCTTTTGACAATCGTTCGAATCGTTGCACTAACCATCGCTTTCCTCTTGCCAGTATTAATCAACAAACACTAAGTCTAGGTGTACGGCTTCTTGCCGATTACCTCCAACCATCTAACACTACTAAGGTGCACCGAAATGTTGAGCCTCATGTAGCTTAATGGTCACATTGTGAAATAATCATCATAGAATTCGGTTAGCAGTCAGTGATTGAGAAATATACGCCTATGACTCTTTACCTCAACTTTACAAGTGATTCACAATGGGAAACTCAGTGACGCCTTTGATGTGAAGATAGCAGTAAGACAAGGCTGTTGCCTACTATCACCGATGATCTTCCTGATTGTGGTCGACTGGATCATTCAACAAACTGTGAGGAGTGAGAAGACGGGGATACGCTGACTGAACAGATGAAGAGACCCTAGAAGATTTGGATTTCGCCAATGATGATTTATGTCTAGTGTCACACAAGCTCGAAGTTCTACAAGCAAAAAACCAACAAGTTGGCAGAACAGGCAAGGCAATGAAGACGGAACTTCAGGCGGATATAGAGAAGAAGAAGACAGAAGTGATGAAGATACCCAACCAACAAACCAACAACAATCAGCAATCACAGTGAACAGAACTGTAAAGGAAGTTATCTCTTTCACCTACCTACCTAGGTAGCATCCCTTTCAACTACAGACGGCAGCAGCGGCACAGATAAGCATTTCAAAGCCAAGATCAGGAAGACAGCAAGACACACCTTCATTAATCCGAAATCAGTGTGGAGATCTACTACACTCAGCATAAAACGTGAACAAGATCCGCATTTTCAAAACTAAGTCAGTCAAGTCAGTGCTTCTATGTGATGGTTAAGAAACTTGACGCGTTACGAAAAGCATTTCCAACAAACTACAGACAAACATGAACAGCTGCTGCCTATGCTCACTAGATACTGTAGATCAGATGAGATGGCCAGGAAGAATAAGCAGGGAGGAACTCTAGCCTGACAACAAACCAACGAAGAAGCTATCGCCAAACAAGTATACACTGGAAGAAAGTGGAAGTGGATTCGATCAGGTATACGCTGAGATCATTTGGGGAACTAGTAGTAGGCCATATTGGGTAGTGTCACCACGTGAGTAACGCAGAAGTCAGGTGTAAAGTTTTAGGGAGGTGAGGTAAATCAGTTGACACAGTTGTGAACCTTCATCGACATGTGTTACGTATGCCTAGTCATCATCTGACTCGTGACACAATGTTGGCCGAAGTAGGTTCAGGTTGGTAAAAGGCTCGAGGTGGCCTAACTAAACATAGTATCAATGAATGAAATCCTCGACTGTTGGTTTGAGACATATGGAGGAGGGGGCGATGCAGACTAGCCAGTTGGGGTTCACAAGAGAAGAGGAACCAGTAGTTGGAGACTGACTCCAGGTGATCACATGGCTCAGAACCGGTGTCAGTGGTGCACATGTATCCTCACACATATTATCCTCATCTTAACGACGCTATACAGAATCTCACCATTTTCTCATTCTCTTTCTCTCTCTCTCTCTCTCTCTCTCTTAGCATTTTTATTCCGCTTGGCTGAATTTTCTTTTCTTTATCCTCGACTTCACTGCCTTTCTACTAGATGTATTGATATGAGGTGTGGCGGCAACTCTGACGGTTACACAGTAATACCTGGTCCTGCCTGCCCACAGTCAGGACTTCTCATCCCAATCTAAATCTAACTGAATTAGAATGAAAAGGGGAGCATCATATTGGTTATCAGAGTGAGAAAGCCGTGGTTCGCCAGTCTAATGTAAGATGAAAGTTAATCGATTGTTAAACAGTGAAATGATTCTCTGTATATCTTCAGAATTACAATAACTTATACCGATATACTAACCTCGCCTGGTTAACTAGTTCACCAGTTACTAGCCGGTCCTAAGCCCGAAGAAAGAGGGAAGGTTGGGCGTAGGCCTGGCAACCCTACACCGTAAAATCAATCCAACCGCCAAAGAAACTTCAAAGCACAGACAAAATGCAAAAAATAAAAAAAAACTTATTCCTCGCAGGAATCGGAGGGACGAAATGACGCCGGTTGGCGAAAGCCTTCTGGAAGCGAATTGGCCGATGAAAGCAAAAGAAGGCATAGGGACAAACTACAGACATTCATCAACAACTGCCTACAATGGCTCGTTACTGAAGATCAGATGGCCAGAATGATTAGAATAAGCAAGAAGGAACTCTGGCTGGTGACAATCCATCCAAGAACATATCGCTTAACCAATATGAACTAGAAGGAAGTGGGGATGGATTGAATTGGACATACACTGAGAAGGCCGACTGGAGACATCACGCATCAGGCCAGACACTCGAGTGGAACCGAGATGGGAAGCGACGAGTTGGGCGTCCAAGTTTGAGGGTGACATGGAGGAGATCGTGCGAGGAAGAAATGAGAGCTTCTGGGCTGTCGTGGAGCCAGGTCCAAAAGGTTTCAGAGAACAGAGCGCATTGGAGACGTGCTATCGAAGCCCCATGTTCCATTACGAACCCAAAGGACAAATGATAATAAATATAGTAATATCGATATACTCTTATCTGACAGTTCCAACTTGCTACAAAAATTGATTCTTTCTTCTAAAAAATTCAATATAGAATGCCATCAAATACTTAATATATTTTCTTCAGTTGGATAAAGACAGAAATGCTAAGAAATTCAGCTGATGAGTCTAGGTAATCATCATCATCAACAACAACATAGGACCAGGCCACGAAACATGCACATTCAGTCATAGAGAAAATATAATAATTCAGTGAAGAAACACTTTCTCTTTTCGACGATATCCTTCTTCTAAAGCTGTACAATCATATTCATGTATATATCATAAACATATAACAGTCTATTATAAAACAATAGGCTATAATTACATCACTAAGCCACCTAATGCTAAAACAAACCGGAATCAAGAATGCAAAGTAGTTGTGTAATCATCTATTAGACAGTAGTAGAAATATCGAGGAAGACAAGGAGTTTGACAAGGTGAAATGTTTGGTAGATAAGAAAGTGTTAATACCATGATAAGATGAGAGATTGAACATACTTGTTTTGCACACAGAGATGAGGCATGAATTGACGAGTTGCCAATGCCTCAGCTGTGCACAACTGTCGAAGGTGTACTCCTTTTTAACTATTCCATATGACATGATAAATCACATTGAAGGAGGATTGTGGTCGAACTGCATGTGTTTAGAGTTGACCAAATGTTCAAGAATTGAACTGTTAATTGATTTACATTCTCCCCTCGACAAGCATGCAGGGTAGTGAAAAATGGATATCCATCCAGATTTATCGATAAGAACTTGAAAGCAAATCAGAATACGGAGCGAGTACTCACAGTTCCTAAGAAGACCTTGTTTATGAACGTTATTTTCAAAGGCAACACGGCAGCTGAGATCCTGAAGAATCAGCTGTCCAGATCACTGAAGAAGACATTGTTCTGTGAGAAACTGTAGACCAGCTTCTCTCTAGTCAACAAGATACGTTTGGATATTGTGCGCTTTGTGTGGCCTATGTAACTAGCTGCACAGGAAGGAGCAAGTAAATTTGTAGACAGACATTGAGGTGGCCCAAAGTGGCAACTTGTCCATAACGCACTCCGGAATGAGTTGTTGACTGGAGAAGCTGATCTGCAATTTCGCAGAGAAGAATGTCTTCTTCAATCCCTCATCTTACCATGGTCTTAACACTTTCACAATATCTTCTATTTCATTATAATTAATTAGTTTATTGTTATTATCACCTTCATTATGACCCTTGTCTCATTCTTCACCTTCTCTACATCCATCTATCTATCAAGTGGACACCCAATATTTGTGTTTCTTATCTCCCAGTAATTTCACCTTGTCAAACTCATTTTCTACGAAACATGCCCGTTGAGTCATAGAGAAGAGATAATTCAGTGAAGAAACATTCTCTCTTTTCGACGATATCCTTCTTCTAAAGCTGTACAATCATATTCATGTATATATCATAAACATATAACAGTCTATTATAAAACAATAGGGTATAACTACATCACTAAGCCACCTAATGCTAAAATAAACCGGAATCAAGAATGCAAAGTAGTTGTGTAATCATCTATTAGACAGTAGTAGAAATATCGAGGAAGACAAGGAGTTTGACAAGGTGAAAATTACTGGGAGATAAGAAATGCAAATATTGAGTGTCCACTTGATAGATAGATAGATAGATAGATGGATGTAGAGAAGGTGAAGAATGAGACAAGGGTCATAATGAAGGTGATAATAACAATAAACTAATTAATTATAACGAAATAGAAGACATTATGGAAGTGTTAAGACCATGGTAAGATGAGAGATTGAACATACTTCTTTCGGACGCAGAGATCAGGCTCGAATTGATGAATTGTCAGTGCCTCCGCTGTGCACAACTGTCGAAGGTGTACTCCTTTTCAACTATTCCATCTGACACGATAAATGACATTGAAGGAAGATTCTGATCAGGCTGTATATGTCCAGAGTTCAGCAAATGTTCAAGAATTGAACTGTTAATTGATTTACATTCTCCCCTCGACAAGCATTCAGGGTAGTGTTCCGAGATACGTTTGGAAAGCGTGCGCTTTGTGCGGACTACTTTGCATTCTTGATTCCGGTTTATTTTAGCATTAGGTGGCTTAGTGATGTAATTATACCCTATTGTTTTATAATAGACTGTTATATGTTTATGATATATACATGAATATGATTGTATAGCTTTAGAAGAAGGATATCGTCGAAAAGAGAGAATGTTTCTTCGCTGAATAATTTTTTTCTATAGGACCAGGCATTACTGTGTAACCGTCCGAGTTGCCGCCACACCTCATCAATACATCTAGTAGAAAGGCAGTGAAGTCGAGGATAAAGAAAAGAAAATTCAGCCAAGAGGAATAAAAATGCTAAGAGAGAGAGAGAGAGAGAGAGAGAGAGAGAGAGAGAGAGAGAGAGAGAGAGAGAGAGAGAGAGAGAGAGAGAATGAGAATGAGAAAATGGTGAGATTCTGTATAGCGTCGTTAAGATGAGGATAATATGTGTGAGGATACGTGTGCGCCACTGACACCGGTTCTGAGCCATGTGATCACCTAGAGTCAGTCTTCAACTACTGGTTCCTCTTCTCTTGTGAACCCCAACTGGCTAGTCTGCATCGCCCCCTCCCCTATATGTCTCAAACCAACAGTCAACGACTTCATACATTGATACCATGTTTCAGTCTGGTCGAGAGCCAAGAGCCTTCTTCCAACGTGAACTTACTTAGAACAACATTGTGTGATGCGGCAATCGGCAACCGGGGACACATAACGCGTGTCCTAACTAGCCATCTCGGTCGATGAAGGTTCATAACCTCGTCAACTGATTTACCTCTACTCCCTAAAACTCTACACCTCATTTCTGAAAATTATTCACGTGGTGATACCACGGAATGCGGCCTATACTGCGGAAACAACGGTGGTCAAACACCTGAAGTCTTCTCATGTCTTCCACCTCAATGGTAATGTTTCACAGCTATACAGTGGAATAGACCAAACTACTGTGTAGTACATGCCCCCCTAACAGACAATGGGATATCACGGTGGTGTAAGTTCGTGAAAGCCGACCAAGCCTTTTGTATTTGTGCAGAGATTTCATCGGGTACTGAGCAGGGCAAGGCTGATCCTACTTCACTCATCAGGTAAGTGAGGTGGTTGACACACTCAACCACTACAGTCTCTATTGTTAGTCGTGGCACCGCTGAGACCAATCCTGGAGCAACAATTTGCATTTCGGTGGTGAGAACCGCATCCCAAACATTCTCAAATTCACACTCAAAATGTTCACAAGACTCTGCATCTTGTCAGCGTCTTCACAGGATTAACAGGACTATGTCATCTGCATATTCTAGGTCTAACGAAAATTCTGCTGTGATTAGGTCAACCTCTGTGTAATCAGGTGACGAGAGGGAGACCTCCATGAGAATATCTATGATGAAATTGAATAAGAATGGAGAGAGTGGGCACCCTTGACGGACACCACTGGATGAGCATAGCTCCCTGGACATCTTACCATAGGCTCTAACACGCGCACAAATGTTCGAGTAGAGAGCCTTGAATAATAAGGTGATGTAGTTACTCGAGATGCCTTTCAGTGAGAGACATTGCCATAAGACTTCTCGATCAACAGAGTCGAAGGCCGTCTTCACGTCGAGGAATACAGCTATTGTCGAACATCGGTAAACGCATCTGTATTCCAAAACCTGGAGAGCAGTGTGAATATTTGGCCATGGTAAAGGATGAAATGCATACCATAAAAGAGAAAAAAAAACATGACCACTTTTTTTTTCATTACCTGAATCCATTTTTCCATTACTTCATTTAAAAATAATTCTGGATGACGTAATGTCCAACCGGGATGAGATATATACAAGTGTAAATAGACACCAGCCACTTGAATTGGACCAAGACAAGCAACATATTGAGCTATTTCATTCGGTTGATTTTTATTCTCATCATTCGCTTTTTTAGCAATCACCTCAGTATAGGGAACTTTAAATGAATCGGATAAATCCCATTTTATATTACGATCATCAATTTGTTTCATGTAGAAACTGAATTCCATTAGTGTATGAACACAATGAAAGGCAAAGAAAATAGATATGTATGCATATATATCGTATTGTTTAAATGAGGATATCATTTCAAATATATACTCTTGTTCAATAAGTAATTGAACAGTTTCTTTAAAACAACACATCGACATTATATAGGTATTTACAAGTACAACTTACAGGTCTGTGAATTGTTATACATCTAATGATCATTGATGATTAGCTTTAACAATGATTCCCAAAGTTTTAATTAGCAGTAGTGGCCAGAAGGGTAAATCACTGAAATCTGACCTAATGGCTCAATGGTGACATGTTGGCCGTCAAACATGAAGGTCTGGGTTCGAACCCTAGACGCTGGGTTCATAGATGCCTATGACCTGGATAACAGAGAAATGTGTGAAAATGCTATATGCGCCTAATTTTGCACAGCTTTTGCTTGCTGTTCTGCCCATGACCTTGAAATAACATAACATGGCTGTTTTCACACCATTACTAGTTTGTCTTCCCCCTTCTCTCAAGGCTGAACTCTTATTGGTTGTTAGCTATATGTGGATTTCGTGTTGTCAAGGTCATTCAGAAATGTTTATATACAACATCTCTGTCAACTGTATTCACTGTTGTTGAGATGGTAGATAGCTGTCTCTGTTAACGGTATGTCTTCTTTTCTTGTCTTCGCGCGTCTGTGGTATTTTTGTGGTGGAGGTTGACGTTCTGATTTAAGTTAGAGTCGATTCGTTTGTACTTTAGGTTCGTATTGCTCGTAGACTGTTAGGTCGTAGCATCGGTCATAGCAAAAAACTATCACGAACAGGTATCGAACAAACTTAGTAATAAAACAAGTAGAGTATGGTATGATAAAAACGCTGGATATATCAAGTGGTTGAAGGTGTTCGACAGACAACTGCGGTCACCGAAGAGTAATCAATCCTCTATTATCTCGTTGCAAGTACTAGCTGAATTCTACCAATGACTTCATAATGCGCTCACAAACCTAGGAGCCAAACTGGTAGCGGACAACACAGGAAGAGAACTCATCATGGGGTTGGGAAGCACTCGGTCAAGTGAACGAGAATGGAGAATTGTTTGTAGACTTCTGAGCATTTAATGATATTGAAATTGGAGGCAATATGTACATGCACAAGGATATCCACAAAGCAAGCGACATGGATTTCACCAGATGGACACACTAAAAATCAGATCGACTTCATCTCAATCTCAAGAAAGTGGAGATGCAGCCTACTGGAAACAAGATCAAGAAGCGGAGCAAGATGTAAGCTTAGACCATTCACTGTATAGTGAAAGGGACCTACCTTCAAAATCAAGTTGAAAGCCTGAATAGAAGCTGATGATGATAGACCACAGTTCAAGTTCAGCAGCCAGGAACTGAAGAACATAACTACAGAGGACATCTTCACGTCAGCCATCACCAAAAAAGGGGGATATTGAGCAACATCCCTGAAGGAACCTGTGTGGAAGAGCACTGGAACTCTTTGAAAGAGATGTGAAAGAAACCTGCATAACCGTATTAGGAAGGAAGAAGAGAGAAGAGAAGGAATGGATCTCGGAGGACACATGGAAGCTGATAGAGTAGGGAGAAGAAAATGGTGAAGCAGAAGATGAACCACTGCAGTACAAGGATGAACAACGGTAAGAGGGAACTGAGTACAATCTATAAAACACTATACTGGACAAAGAAGTGAAGAAGAGTGCGCACAAAGACAAAAGACATTTCCACGAAACACTGGCAAGTGAAGCAGAACAGGCTGAAGGTAGGAGAGACCTGACAACATTATATCAAATAACCAGGTTACTATCTGGGAAGAGATCGACACAGATGGAACAAATGAAAGATAGTGAAGGAAACCTAATTATCAAAGAGGAGAAACAAAGGGAACTATGGGATGACAACTTCAAAAAACTCATGAATAGACCACCGCCTGCAATCCGTTGAGAAATACCACCAACAGGTATAGGATTACCAGTGAACACAAACACTCCGACAAAAGCATAAGTAAAGTCCTGAACGCCATAAAGTTGCTGAAAGCGGGGAAAGCAGCAGGACCAGATGAAAGTCCACCAGAAACCCTGGACACAGACGCAGAGACAACAGCGGACATGCTCACACCACTACTGTAGAAGGTTTGGAAGGAAGGAAAGACACCTGTAAATTGATTGGAAGAAGGGATACCTTGTCAACCTCCAAAAGAGGAGAGACTTAGGTCTTTGCAGGAACTGGCACGGAATCATGCTGCTGTCCACACCAAACAAAATATTAGGCCGCATCATCCTGAAGAGACTACAACATGCGCTGGATTCAAAAGTACGACCGGAACAGGCTGGCTGGGTCAGGAAAAACAAATCGTGTGCAGATAAAACGGCAACGCTAAGCTGCACATCATTAAAGAACAGAGCATAGAATGGCAGTCAACTCTTTACCTTGCCTCAACTTCATCCACTTTGAAAAGGCCTTCGACAGCATCGACCGAGAAGTAATTTGGCAACTGCCTCAACACTACGGTGTCAGTGACACAAACCTTTATCAACCTCACTCAACAACTCTATGAAGACTCCACATGCCCAGTGATCCACAATGGAAAGCTCTGTGACGTATTTGAAGTGAAGACAGGAGTAAGACAAGGCTGTCTACTATCACCCGTGATATTCCTGATTGTGGTTGACTGGATAATGTAGTAAACTATGAGAAGCGAGAAGAAGGGGATACGCTGGACCGCAGAAAAAATCCTAGAAGATTTGGATTTCGCCGATGACTTATGTCTAATGTCTTATTGCACAAACTCGAAGATCTACGAAGCAAAAACTAACAAGTTGACAGAAGAAGCAGCGAAGAGGGGAATTTCTTCAGGTGAACGTAGAGAAGACAGAGGTGATGAAGATACCCAACCAACAACAACAACCAGAAGTACCAATCGCCATCAACGGAGAAATCGAAACGAAATTGTCTCTCATCTACCTAGGCAGCATCCTTTCAACTACAGCGGTGATACAGATGAAGACGTCAAAGCAAGGAGGGCCTTCATTAATCTGAAACCAATGTGGAGATCTTCTGCACTCAGCATAAAGCGTGAACAAGATCCGGATTTTTGACACTAATCTGGTCAAGCAAGTCAGTGCTTCTATGTGATGGTTGAGAGACTTGGCGCGTTACGAAAAGCATTTCCAACAAACTACAGATATTCATCAACAGCTGCGTACGCTCAATGCTGAAGATCAGATGAGATGGTGAGAAAGAAAAGCAAGGAGAAACTTTGCCTGGCAACGAACCAACGAAGAAGCTACCGCCCAACAAATATGCACTGGAAGAAAGTGGAGATGAATTGGTAATAGACTGAGAAGACCGTTTGGGGACATCACGCTTCCGGGCCATGCCAGGTCGTCGAGTGGAATCCAAGGGGGAAACGAAGAGTTGGGCTTTCGAGGCTAGGGTTACATGGAGGAGATGGTGTGACGAAGAAATGAAAGCTTGTGGGCATTCGTGGTGTCAGGTTGAAAAGATTGCAGAGAAGAGAGTGAAATGGAGACGTGCTACTGAAGCCCTGTATGTTCCACTAGGAACCCAAAGGATAAATAAATAAATGATAATAATTTTCATTTGTTTTTGAGTCTTCCACCCTTTGATCCCAATACACGTTTCTCCACATTCACCGTGTCTTCTCCATTAATTAGTCGGATCGCGAATCAACTAGGAATCTGTCGAATGTTGATGATAACACTCGATATCCGTTCATCGTTAGCGACCATAGTAGTTACCGAAACATAACAGTAACGACAGGAATAGGATATTAAGAAATGGATTATTTAAAGTTGGACAATTTCCTCATAATGAATCATCAACTACTACACCAATTTCAATACCTCCTTCAGTTGATGGCATCATCAGTAGCATCACTCAATTTCACTACGATCCTCATGACAATAACACTTCCCACAGTTACTTCACGTGTTATGAAGGCTATTTCAAAGTGGATTTTGCTGGTCAACATAATTCCTCGAAGGTATGTATATCTCCTATTTCGAAAGTGTGCTCCACATCAGCTCGACCAACACACTGCAATATGATTTCACCTCTGAAACCATTTGATCGCACTTTCGACACCATAGTCCATACACTGAATCGCATGTCTGCAGAACATCAACGACTAAGTAACCTACAGTGTAATACAAGTTTATCCTAATCCCGATGTCACGGTGGATGTAAAGTACATACAGTTCGCCACACATATCATTCCTCCGCATCACCCCCTCTAGCCAAACACATCTTGGCCTTATCTTGCCTGTTCATCAGCCCAGTAACTCATCCGATACCAACCAACTCTCGAAGAAGACACCTCCATTGCCTTGTTGACATTGTGGTGCCTGATATCTCGTCACATCTTGTCCACATTAACAACATCGATGCATAGACTGACTGTAATGTTGGGGACCATAAGAACGGTCTTTGCCTCCAACACACACACACACACACACACACACACACACACACACACACACACACACACACACACACACACACACAACCACATGTACAAAAGTCACCCTTGAGATACCGCAGCAGATCTCATTCTCGATTGGTAGGTGAATCTCTTAGCTTGATAGCTGATTTTCATGCTCATGCACCTACCCGACGAAAGGATATCAAGAAGATTACTGATCGCTGAATTAACAAAGAGAAACTCCTTCTGCGTCAGCGAGATGAGTGCAGGAAAACGACAGTATGACTCCGAATAACATTCTTTCGAATTATCTATATATTAGATATATTTCCTTTTGTTTTTCGATCGCAATACACGTTTCTACAAGTCCATTGTGTCTTCTCCATTAATTCGGGCCAGGGGTCAGGAATCCACTAGGAGTTTGTTGAACGTTGGTAATTGACACTAGATATCCTTACATCGTTAGCTGTCATAGTGCATAGTAGTTTCCAAATCGTAACACCTAACTTGATAATCAACCTGTCAGATATTTGATACAATTCAGTCAGCACATAAGAGTATTATTTTTATTATTATTAGTCCCTTGGGTTCCTAGTGGAACATAGGGCTTCAGTAGCACGCCTCCAGTGACCTCTGTTCTCTGAGATCTTTTGGACCTGGTCCACGACAGCCCACAAGCTCTCATTTCCTCCTCGCACGACCTCCTCCATGTCACCCTCACCTCGGACGTCCAACTCGTCGCTTCCCCTGGGGATTCCACTCGAGCAACTGGCCTGACGCGTGATGTCCTCCGTCGGCCTTCTCAGTGTATGCCCAATCCATCTCCACTTCTTCCTGCATATTTGTTGGGTGATAGGTTCTTGGTTGGTTCGTTCCCAGAGTTCCTTGTTGCTTATTCTTTCTGACCATCTGATCTTCAGCAGCGAGCGTAAGCAGTTGTCTGTAGTTTATTGGAAATACACACATAAGAGTAAGCAACATGAAATTTGTTATTCTCCTATGATCATTCAACATAATAACAAAATAAAAATTACTTATGTGTTTGTTCACTTAAAACCTTAGCCAACATATTCCGTAGATTTGTATCCCATATAATCTCTGGATTTTCATGGTCAGCTAAATGAAAGAATAAAGAAATAACAATGGTGAAAATGTTATAGAATAAAAGAATCATAAAGAAAAACAATCAGCTGACGAATTACGAGTAAGTTTCATCCAAAAGGTATGTTGAATAAACATTTTGTCACACCTTATTACAATTATTATTTTTCCCTTGGGTTTCTAGTAGAACACGTCACCATTTCACTCTCTTCTCAGCAGTCTTTTCAACCTCACTCCACGACTGCCTACAAGCTTTCACTTCTTCCTCACATGATCTCCTCCATGTCACTCACACCTCGGACGCTCAACTCATCGTTTCCCCTTTGGATTCCACTCGACGGTCTGGCCTGGCATATGATATCCCCAGTCGGCCTTCTTAGTGTATGCTCACCAGGTGAGGTTTTGTCACACCTTAGAAGTATACAATCATGGATCCTTTCCAGTATGATTCTAAGAGTAGACAATAAGATCAATACGGTCGATTTAGGAGCACAGCGAGATTGCAGGTTGTCAAGGCGATTTCATCAACAATGTCTTTGATTATCTGGTCTAGAATAATCAACTGAAGCAGTAAGCAGAAGAGACATCTGAATAGAAATCCTCCTTGAGACTATCTTATCAGTATTATAGCTGTCAATATAGGATCAGACATTGTTGCACGACGGTCCAATTCGCTACACATCATAAAGAGAAATAACTAGAAAGCAGTAGAAAATAGTAAAAAAGAGGAAGGAGGAATGACAAAATACTGAATTCAGTCTTGTCATACAGAGTCTTTAACCCCTAGTTTCTCTTATCATCTGGACCTCATTCGGTCAGTCTACATCTCCCTATGTGGCTCAGACCAGCAGTCAAAGACTTCATGTAGTGATACCATGTCTTCAACTGGTCGCCTCCAGCCTAACATTACGCGACAAGGTAAACAGTAACTAGGCGGCTTGGGCGACACATATCTCAGCCAGCACAACCTGATCAAATGACTTTCCTCTCCTACATCTGACTGCCTGTATTTCTAACGTGATGAACCAATGACGGTATTGATAGTCAAACATCTGAAGCCTTTTCATGTCTTCTACCTTTAACGGTCTTATTTCACAATCATAGAGTGGAACACCACGAACTGCAGCGCAGTAAACTCAACCCCTTAATATATAATCGGATATCACGACGGCGCCGTAGATCGTCTAAATTGGCATTTTGTATCCGTGTAAAGATTTCGTCGGTCACTGAATCCCCATCAAGGCTGATCTGACTTCATATGCAAGTGAAATGGCGAATACACCGAATCGCTTCACTCTTTATTGTTAAACAAGGCATCTCTGAAGACACAAGTCCTGGAGCAACAGTTTCCATTTGGATGATGAGAAACACATTTCATAACCGATAAGTACAACTCTTTCTTTATAGTACGATGATATAGACGCAGAAAGATAGACAGACAGAGAGACAGGGAGACACAGACAAAGTCAACATAGAACCTCGCATAGAAGTGAATCACTTCAAGTGCTTACACTTCACAGGAACATCTAAAGAATAGGTGAACAGAAAGAGAATGGTGAAAACATCTGCATTATAATGATCAAATTTTAGACATATCATCATTAAATTTTGAGGGAGTTGTGGGGATTTAGAAATATTTCAAGTTGTTATTCATAGTAGACTGACATCAGTTAGGCAGGAACAAAGGAAATCTGGGAGCACTGGACAGCTGTTTCGTCCAACCAGTATGGGATTCCTCGGCAGTGCGCACCCACCACCTCGCACCACCAGCGATCGAACCCGCGATCTACAGGTTCCGTGGCCAGCACGTTACCACTGAGCTAGCCAATGGGTCAGAATCCAATCGTCCAACTGTCCTCACAATCATCAGGCTTTGTCCCCACCGGTCACCGCTTCTCATTGGAACTTTGGGAATACCTATCGAAGCTAGTCACCAATGAACACCAGTTCGATTGAATTTTGAGTGAGTTGTGAAGACTTGGAAATATTTCAAGTTGTTATTCATCGTGAGCTAACAGAAGTTGGAAATATGGACCATTGGATTCTAACCCAGTGGCTAGCTCAATGGTAACATGCTGGCCACGGAACCTGAAAGTGGCGGGTTCCATCCCTGGTGAGGCGGGGTCGTGGGTGCACACTGCTGAGGAGTCTCATACTAGGACGGAACAGCCAGCTGTCCAGTGCTCCTAGATTTCCTTTGTTTCTCCAACTGATGTCAGTCTACGATGAATAACAACTTGAAATATCATTATTAAGCAAGAAAAAAGAAACCAACTTACCATCGAATAATGCCAAAAAGTTTTCCGGTTGATCTTTTAATGTATCAACAAATACACTCGGTAAATATTGATTTATTATAGCTTGTATACGTCGACCAAATTGTTTATTAATTAAACAATGAGATAAAAGGCGTGCAGTAGCTTGACGATCCTGTTGTTGTGGTGAATGACATATCAATTCTAACAAATAGATTAAACCTCCAGCATAGATAAATTCTTTGAGTAATAATGATGAAGCTATTAGGTGATTGACTGTTTGGATAAGAACAAAATGTGCTAGATACAAAAAAAAGCAGAAAAAAAAATAATGAAAGATGAATTGATGTACATTGATAACGATTACTGTTAACCACCCCCCCCTTCTGTCCATCCACTCCCACATATTTGAGGGACAATAGTACCCCACAATTCCTTCGATAAATAAAATGGTTACGAAAAGAAGAATAAATAAAACCCAACAAGAAGTTCCATTTTATCTCTCATCTAATTCGATAGTCATCAAATAGCAACATCTAAAAATCTAGGCCTTTGGGGCTATTCACTGTATGCCAAAGTAACATTCAACGCAACGCTATGCATCATTATAGAACAGAGTATAGAATGGCAGTCAACAATTTACCTTACCTCAACTTCATCGACTTTGTAAAGGCTTTCGATCGAGGCGTCGACCGAGAAGTAACATACCAGCTGCTTCAACACTACGGTATCACTGCCACAAATCTTTATCAACTTCATTCAACAGCAGCTATATGACGATGCCACATGTCAAGTGATCCAGAATGGAAAGCTCAGTGATGCCTTTGAAGTGAAGACAGGTTGACAGGTAGGACAAGATTACCCGTTCAAGTTGGTGCAACTTCTAAAGTGAGTAAACGGGTCGACACATTCCACAACTTTACTCCCTATCATGAAAGCAGACTTCAGGCTAATGAACACCTGTCTTGCTCTCCTTCCGATCCTGACTGGCTTTCACGTCCTCGTCTGTGCCTGTGCCACCACCTATAGTTGAAACGATGCTGCCTTGCCTGGGTAGGTGAACGAGGCTACTTCCTTTAAGTTTAGCCCCTTGATGGTGACTGGTGTTTCTTCTTATTGCTTGGGTATTTTCATCACCTGTATTCTCTACCTTCACTTCAACAAAGTCCCGTCTTCGCTTCCCTGCCTCACCTCGCCTCGCCTCACCTCACCTCTCCTGTCAACTTGTTAGTTTTCGCCTGTACATCTTCAAGTTTGTGTGACATCACACACAAGTCATCCGCGAAGTCTAAATCTTCTAGGCTATTTTCCCTAGTCTAGCTTGCGTATGTCACTCTTCTCGCTCCTCACTGTTTGCTGTATGATGCACTCCACTACAATCATCAAGATCATCGGTGATGGTAGGTGGCAGCCTTGTTTCACTCCTGTCTTCACTTCACTTCGAAGGCATCACTGAGCTTCCCATTGTGAATTACTTGGCTTGTACGTCGTCATATAGCTGCTGTTGAATGAAGTTGATAAAGATTTGTGGCAGTGATACCGTAGTGTTGAAGCAGCTGGTATGTTACTTCTCGGTCGACACCTCCATCGAAGGCCTTTACAAAGTCGATGAAGTTGAGGTAAGGTAAATTGTTGGCTGCCATTCTATACTCTGTTCTATAATGATTCATAGTGTAGCGTTGCAATTTGGTCCGCACATGATTTGTACTTCCTGAATACTTCAGAAATTTCTTTGGCATTTCTTTCACACCAAGCCTCGTGTGTGTGTTTGTATGTGATAGAATGAATATAAAGGGATTAGGTGTCGGGTACTACGCGTTCAATAGAGAAATCAGTTGATAGGCTTGTGAATATTCACCAAATAAACTGACTAAAGTATGTATTACGCTTATCTAGGGATGCACAATCCTTCTTGGAATAAGATTAGGCGACGACGTGAAAACAGTGCTGTGATTCAATGATTTAGGTACTTGACTTTCAACTAAATGAGTTACGGGTTCTAACTGTACTCCAGTTACCGAGGTTTGGAAAGGTAAGTAGAACCATCTATAGCTACCCAATAAGTGTAACTCATTGTCGCCTATTGCATGGATGTAGACGTGGTTGTTCAGAGCATTTCCACCTCATATTTACTTCATGTCTCTGACTACTAGTTATTAGTATGAGCTGTGAAAGGGAATATCAACTTCTTGGTTGGCAGCCAGCTGTAAGACAATCGACAACAAGTTAGACGGTGCATAAAGCATTGAAACATCGTAAAAGTCATTAATCACACCATAGCAGTGGTATTTTAGTGGAGGTATGGTTTATTGATACAAGGAGATAACATTCGATCAGTAGGTCATAGGTTCGAACCCCGTTTCACCTACTAACGAGGTTTCACCAATCATATAGTGTCAAAAACTCTCACATACGGTGACTGAGTACATTTTTTGGCTAGTATTTTAGCAATCAACTGGTATAAACTTGATACAACAACTTACCTCGTGGAAGAACAATAAATAATATAACCAACGAAGTTAATAAATGTGATGCAGCCATATCTTCAAGGCATTGTGGATTTGTGGAAACAGCTTGTATAACCTGTAGAAAATACAGTATAAGAAGAGATTTTAATTAACATCAAGGCATTAGTGTACATCTATGATAGACACGGAGATACAAGAATCGACTAAATAATCCATGACGAAATCAACATTACAACCAAAGGGGGATGGGTAAAACCATAGAATTACAACAAACTAGTAGCTAAGTAGCTGCTATGCTCAGTCTCAGATATGACAGTTCAGTGTTCGATTGCTTACTGTGTCATAGGTGTGCACTGTTGTCCCTTGGGTTCCTAATGAAACACACAAGGCTTCGGTAGCACCTCTCCATTTCACTCTCATCTCTGCAGATTTCTCAACCTCGCTCCATCACTGCACATAACCTTTCACTTCTTCCTCACATCATCTCCTCCATATCACCATCACCTCCAACGCCCAACTAGTCACTTCCCATCTAGGTTCCTTCCACTAGAAGGCCTGGCCTGGCGCATGATGTCCTCAGACTATCATCTCAATGTGTCGTCAATCCAATCCTTCTCCACTTTCTTCCAGTGCATATTTCTTCGGTGATGGGTTCTTGCTTCGTTGGTTGGTTCGTTGCCAGCCAGCCAGCAGCCAGCCAGCAGCCAGCCGCCAGCCAGCCAGCCAGCCAGCCAGCCAGCAGCAGCAGCCAGCCAGCCAGCGCAGCCGCCAGCAGCGCCAGCAGCAGCCAGCCAGCCAGCCAGCCCCAGCCAGCCAGCCAGCCAGCCAGCCAGCCAGCCAGCAGCCAGCAGCAGCAGCCAGCAGCCAGCAGCAGCAGCCAGCCAGCCAGCAGCCAGCAGCCAGCCAGCCAGCCAGAGTTCCTTCTTGCTTATTCTTTCTGACTACTCATCGCATCGCATCTCATCTCATCTCATCTTCAGTTTCGAGTGACCGTAGGTGGCAGCTGTTGAAGTATGTCTGTGGTTTGTTCCACATACTTCTCGTAATGCGCCAAGTCTCTCAACTATCACATAGAAGCACTGACTTGCTTGACTGAATCAGTGTTGAATATCTGGATCTTCTTCGTTGTGCTGAGTGCAGTGTAGTAGATCTCCACACTGATTTCAAACAAATGAAGGGCTGTCTTGCTGTCTTTCCTATCCTGGCTTTGACGTGCTCATTTGTGTCTGTGGTGCCTGTAGTTGAAACGATGCTACCTGCCTAAGTAGGTGAAAGAGACAACTTCCTTTAGGTTTCTCCCGATGATGGTGGTTGGTGCTTGTTGTTGTTGGTTTGGTATCTTCATCACCTCTGCCTTCTTTACGTTTACCTGAAGGAAGTGCCGTCTTCGCTGCCATGCCTCTTTTGCCAACTTGTTAGTTTTCGCCTTTAGATCTTCAAGTTTGTGCGATATTAGACATCGGACATAAATCATCGTTGGCGAAATCCAAATATTCTAGGGTCTTTTCATCGGTCAAACAGCGTATGCTCATCTCACAGCTCCTCACAGTTTATTGAATGATCCAGTCGTCCACAATCAGGAAGATCATCGGTGATAGTAGGTGGCAAAATTGTCTTGTCTTACTATTGTCTTCACTTCAAAAGCATCACTGAGCTTTCCATTGTGAATCACTTGACATGTAGGATCATCATCATCATATAGCTGTTGAATGAGGTTGATAAAGGCACGAAAACCGTAGTGTTGAAGCAGCTGCCAAATTACTTCTCGGTCGACACCTCGATCGAAAGTTTTTTCGAAGTCGAGGTTGAGTGTTGACTGCCATTTTATGCTCCGTTCTATGATGATGAGTAGCGTAGCGTTGTAGTGTGATCCACTCATGACCCAGCCAGCCTGTTGCAGTTGTAATTTTGAATGCAGAGCATTGTTTAGTCTCTTCAGGATGATGCGGCTTAATATTTTGCTTGGGATGGACAAGTGTGGAGCATGATTCCGCGCCAGTTCTTGCAAAGACTGAGGTCGCGCTTCTTCGGAAGTTTCAGAAGGTGTGTATACATCTGAGGCAAATCAGAGTCTCCAAGTACTGGTTTCTCTTGTCCTGCGGACATCAACCGCCTAGTCTGCATCGTTCTACGTGGTTCAAACCAACAGTCGACTTCAGGCATTGTTTTAGTGTGGCCAACCCAAGCCTTTTTACAGACTGAACCAACTATGGTCAACATTGTGTGACGAAGCAGATGGCGACTAGGCATATGTAACACGTATCCCAGCCATTTGAGTCGATGGAGGTTTGACAACCACATCAACTGTGTTACCTCTCTGTCTGACTTCCACGTTACTCACATGATAACACTATGAAACGCATCCTACGCTACGAAGGCAATGGTAGTCAAACACCTGAAGCCTTCTTATGTCTTCCATCTTCAATGGCCATGTTTCACAGCCACACAAAGGTACCAAAAACAAACAAATAAACCGTATACCAATGACGTAACAATTGACCATGCTTGATGATTTTATAAACGTCGGTGGTTAAAATGAGTTTCTTTCAAATTGGTTACCCTACTAGGTGAAAGTCCAGTGGCGGCATCAACGAGTCAACTACCTTATTCTGACTAATTATGTAGGAGTAATATAGTAATAATAATAATAATAATAATAATAATAATAATAATAATAATAAATAGTAGTAACAATTTTTTACTTGAGTAAAATAACTGAAACTCACATCTAATGCACGCAACTGAATTTCTGGATAGTCATGAAGGTCAAGTATGGAGAAGAGCAAGGCGAAATGGCCAATACATTGGATATCTAAACCTAATAAGAAAAGAAAATAATCATCGAAAGGATAATCCAGTATACAATTATTCATTATTCCATAATGTATCATTACATGATCTGATTATTTCTTCATGATCTTCTAACAAATCAGAGTTATGAAAGTGTCCCCCGAATAGTAACAGTAGATATGAACAACACACAGTAGGTTATATTGGGATATGTTGTGACGAAATATATCGATAGACTTCATAGTTATTTGAGTATGGTTGTTGTCGAAGGCGAAAAATCCTACTCGATACAGAAGTAGAGGGTAGACAGTCAGTCACTAAACATCGATGGTTTACAATGGTCAGATTTGACAAGTTATAAAGTTGAACTTATAAAAAAAAATCCGTAATAATTATCAAATTCCCAACAGAACTTAGATATAAAGTCGAAGATGATACACTCTAGGACTCAGTAGAATAAGGTGAAGGTATAATCTCCTGTGATTCTGTATACAGCACATACAGTGGATGATATAGTATTATTTACTATTCCTTATAATCATTATAATATCAATGTAATCATACATTCAACAATCGACTTTTATAGACCTCTCACTCACCTCATTTCCTTTGTTTTTATAGTTAAAGCTTTCCATATCTCTGGTATAGGCCTGGCATCATTATCCTTATTACATGTGTCGGGCATCTCCACCTAATTCTGTTGTTCGACTTGAGTACAGTGGTTTTATCCCACCGTGTAGTGTGTCCTTGTGTGTTAATACATCCACTGCAATAGCCGAGTTACTTTCCAGATTATTGATGTTATTCAGGTCTGTCATTTTATGTTTAGCTAATATCCCATGTTCCGCTATTCTAATCGACCCCGACTGGCTAGTTTCACCCATATACTTGACCTGACCTCACAGTCATTATATGGAATTTGATAAATGAAAGTTATTTTGCTTAATTGGTTCTATCGGATCCTTAAGCCAGCCGGCAAAGTTTATCTCTGAGTGAGTTTGTAGATTTAAATGCCACCCTGATTGCAGCTTTGTTGAGGATTCTACCTGAAGTTTCTGAGGTACCCTCCTTATAGGGTAACATAATGGAGGCTGTGAACTCCTTCTCTACTCATGTTTTCGCTATTAGTCGAAAGTAATGTGATTACATTGCTCAAAACGTCATCAAGTAAATAATACTAGATCAATGTGTGTTATATCATCGAATAAACAAATCTAATATGGAATTACATTCTACCACATTGCCCAAGTTTTACACCTATATTAAGGTGTAATCTTATGTAATAGGCAATAAGGCGCACCTAATAATACCACCCATCCAGTAGAGTTAACCTCTAACATATTGACCAATCATTTTGAAAGTTAACCGTCTACACCAATATGGTAAAAATCTCTATTATTATGTCCTCCTTATAAAATTTCAAGGTGATCACAATATTGAAAGAAGACTATTTGGTGATATCATACACCAGGCCAAACCATCGAGTGAAACATAAAAGGCAAACGATGAATTAGGCGTCTGAGATGATGGTGGCATGGAGGAGATTACAAAGAACAGAGTTCACTGGAGATGTGCTACTGAAGCCCTGTGTTCCATAAAGAACCCAAGGGACTAATAATAATAATAATAATAACGACAGTAATACTGACAATAATAATGATGACGATAATAATAATAATAACGATAATAATGGTAATAATGATAATAATAATAATGATAATGGTGATGATGATGATGATAATAATAATAACAATAATAATAATGATAATAATAATAATAACAATAATAATAATGATAATATAATAAGATAATGATGATGACAGTGATGATGATGATGATGGTGATAATAATAATAATAATAATAATAACAATAATAACAATTAATAATAACGATAATGATAGTAATAATGATAATGATAATGATAATAATGATGATGATAATAATAATAATAATGATAATGATAATGATAATGATAATAATAGTAATAACGATAATAATGATAATGATAATAATAATGGTAATAATGGTAATAATAATGATATATAATAATAATAATAACAGTAATAATAATAATAATGATAATAATAATAGTAATAATGATGATAATAGTAATAATGATGATAATGATAATAATGGTGATGATGATGATAATAATAATAATAACAATAATAATAATAGTAATAATAATAGTAATAATAATAATGATAATAATAATAGTAATAATGATGATAATGATAATAATAGTAATAATAATGATGATGATGATAATAATAATAATGATAATAGTATGAAATGGAGTTACTGAATAAAAAGCCTACCAGTATTATGACGTATCACATTCGTTAACGCTTCTAAAGCTGAAATAACATTCATTACACATTGATTTGTAATATGTGAAGCTTCAGCGCCCCAATCAATTTCATCATCATCATCATCGATTATTGATAAATTATCATCATTCTCCTTTGAAGTAAATTGTAATTCTGAATTGACTCGATTTGTTTGACATAATTGATTATCAGAGTAAAGTTTTTCAGAATTAAGATTTTGTAATTCAATAGTTAAAAATTGAAATAGATCAATGATAAAACTTTTAGGATCCTATAAAAATTAAATGATACAATGAAGATAAAAAAAATATATAATCATTATGTATACGTCTTGGATACAATATTAGATTTTATTACTAAGGCATGATTTATCTATTGTTGGGTTGATACAAAAAGCCTTAAATGTATGAGGGGTAACTAGTAAGCTATGATTATTTATTCATCTGTTCCTTGGGTTCCTAGTGGAACACACAAGGCTTCGGTAGCACCTCTCCATTTCACTCTCATCTCTGCAGACTTCTCAACCTCGCTCCATCACTGCACATAACCTTTCACTTCTTCCTCACATCATCTCCTCCATATCACCATCACCTCCGACACCCAACTCGTCATTTCCCATCTGGGTTCCTCCCACTCGAGGGCCTGCCTGGTGCGTGATATCCTCATCTCAGTGTTTCGCTAATCCAATCCATCTCCACTTTCTTCCAGTGCATATTTCTTCGGTGATGGGTTCTTGCTTCGTTGGTTGGTTCGCTGCCAGCCAGCCAGCCAGCCAGCCAGCCAGCCAGCCAGCCAGCCAGCCAGCCAGCCAGCCAGCCAGCCAGCCAGCCAGCCAGCCAGCCAGCCAGCCAGCCAGCCAGCCAGCCAGCCAGCCAGCCAGCCAGCCAGCCAGCCAGCCAGCCAGCCAGCCAGCCAGCCAGCCAGCCAGCCAGCCAGCCAGCCAGCCAGCCAGCCAGCCAGCCAGCCAGCCAGAGTTCCTTCTTGCTTATTCTTTCTGACTACTCATCGCATCGTATCTCATCTCATCTCATCTTCAGTATCGAGTGACCGTAGGTGGCAGTTACTGAAGTATGTTTGTAGTTTGTTGGAAATGCTTTTCGTAACGCGCCAAGTCTCTCAACCATCACATAGAAGCACTGACTTGCTTGACTGACGTAATGTTGAAAATTTGGATCTTCTTCCTTGTGCTTAGTGCAGTGTAGTAGATCTCCACACTAATTTCAAATTAATGAAGGCCTGTCTTGTTGTCTTTCCGATGCTGCCTAGTTAGGTAGGTAGGTGAAAGAGACAACTTCCTTTAGGTTTCTCCCGATGATGGTGGTTGGTGCTTGTTGTTGTTGGTTGGGTATCTTCATTACCTCTGTCTTCTCTACGTTCACCTGAAGGAAGTACCGTCTTCACCGCCATGCCTTTTTTGCCAACTTATTAGTTTTCGCCTGTAGATCTTCGGAGAAAACTAACCAGTAAATACCCAGACCTTAAGAGATGAGGCGAAATCTGAACCTATAGTTGACGGGTTGAAAGCCGGTTGTCGAGACTAGTTGCTGCACAGGTCCGACCAAAAGTTGTTACTATGACGTGGTGGTTGGGTTCCTTGAGAGGCTACGACATCAGAGAGATTTGTTAGACAATGGTAAGACAAAGAGCAGTTGCCGCCAAGCTATGATGAAGGTCCAATGGTGAAGTCTTAGTGTTGCCTTGATAATGAGTGGCAGTAGAAACGTTCCCCATGGAAGACCAGCAGTAACGTGTTAATGGAAGGGCTGAATTAGAAAGGGCTGGTCCTAAAAATACCATACTCCTCTTTGCCCTACGGTCTTCCGGTGCTGGAGGTATGCATTTATTCTATCCGGTGTTCGAAGAACCAGAAGAATCTCTAAAGACTGCATTTGCCAAGCCTCAAACGTATATCCATGGGATTCTCCGATCATGATGTAACCTGATACTCCTTCACCAGCTTTACAGAAACAAAATTCATGGCATGGAAAACTATCAGTAAACAAAATCTAACCCATAGAAACCTATTCTTTTTACATTTTTCACCTTCTTTACCTTTCACTTCTCATATCAAAATCATTTCCGCTCACTGAAATAGAAGGTCTGAGTCATTAATGGGCACAAATTAGTCACTTTCAGATTACTTTTTTCTATGGTTAGAATAAATTACTTGATAAAGAAATACTGTGAACTATATTAATCAATCAATGATACCTAATTAATTAATTGATTTCAGTATGAGCATGATATAACATACTTTTCGGGTAACAATAGGTAATATTTAAATAATATTATACATATGTACACATAATTACTAGCTAAATAAGTTAATTAATTAATTGATTAATTGAATAAATAAATGAATAAATGAGATCTTACGTCAAGTGTATACGCTGGTTGTTTGTTGTACAATCGAACAAATACTTCACCGATAAGTAATTCTTGAGCATATGATTCATGTGTAAAGGTTAGCACAGAGTTCAGATTACATTCTCCCTTAAATAAGTAGAAAGTAATGGTAGATAGACAGTAAATCTTATATATAAACAAAATAATAAATTAATAGACAAATTACTCTTATGTTAGTTCGATTATTATCTGATATAATATTACTGATATTGAGTGATGACCAAAGATGAAATAAAAAGATAATCCATGGAAGGATTCGAATCACTAGCACGTCTCCAATGTGCTCTGTTCTTTGAACTCTTTTGTACCTGGCTCAACGACTGTCCACAAGCTCTCATTTCCTCCTCGCACGACCTCCTCCATGTCACCCTCGCCACGGACGCCCAACTCGTCGCTTCCCATCTAGGTTCCACTCGAATGGTCTTCTCAGTGTATGTCCAATCCAATTCATCTCCACTTCCTTCTGCATATTTGTTCAGTGATAGGTTCTTGCTTCGTTGGTTCGTTGCCCACCAGCCAGAGTTCCTTGATGCTTATTCCTCCTGGACATCTGATCTTCAGTAACGAGTCAGTGTAGGCAACAACTCTTGATCAATTTCTGTAGTTTGTTGGAAATCCATTTCATAACGCGCCAAGCTTCTGAACCATCACATAGAAGCACTGACTTGATGTTGGTGTTGAAAATCCGGATCTTGTTCCACATGCTGAGTGCAGAATATCTCCACACTGGTTTCAGGCTACTGAACACCTATCTTGCTGTCTTTCCGATCCTGACTGGCTTTCACGTCCTCGTCTGTGCCTATGCCACCACCTGTAGTTGAAACGATAATGCCTTGCCTGGGTAGGTGAACGAGGCTACTTCCTTTAAGTTTAGCCCCTTGATGGTGACTGGTGTTTCTTCTTGTTGCTTGGGTATCTTCATCACCTGTATTCTCTACCTTCACTTCAACAAAGTCCCGTCTTCGCTTCCCTGTCTCACCTCGCCTCGCCTCACCTCACCTCTCCTGTCAACTTGTTAGTTTTCGCCTGTACATCTTCAAGTTTGTGTGACATCACACACAAGTCATCCGCGAAGTCCAAATCTTCTAGGCTATTATTTCCCCTGGTCTAGCTGCCGATTGCCCCTCTTCTCGCTCCTCACTGTTTGCTGTATGATGCACTCCACTACAATCATCAAGATCATCGGTGATGGTAGGTGGCAGCCTTGTTTCACTCCTGTCTTCACTTCACTTCATTTCACTTCGAAGGCATCACTGAGCTTCCCATTGTGAATTACTTGGCTTGTGCGTCGTCATATAGCTGCTGTTCAATGAGGTTGATAAAGATTTGTGGCAGTGATACCGTAGTGTTGAAGCAGCTGGTATGTTACTTCTCGGTCGACACCTCGATCGAAGGCCTTTACAAAGTCGATGAAGTTGAGGTAAGGTAAATTGTTGGCTGCCATTCTATACTCTGTTCTATAATGATTCGTAGTGTAGCGTTGCAATTAGGTCCGCACATGATTTGTACTTCCTGAATCCAGCCAGCCTGTTCCGGTCGTACTTTTGAATCCAGCGCATCCTTTAGTCTCTCCAACAAAACTCAACTACTACTGACTAAATTTTTATTTTATTTCACTTCAATCGCCAAGCATATCGCCTAACTGCTATCTGAATTCATGATGTATAACCTTTCCATTCATTCTCTTCACATTAGTTGTTGTTCAGCTAGAATTTCTAACTCCAGTTCAAATCAAGGTGAACTGGAGAAGGAAAGTATCACATGAATTATCAATCCGACTATTTCATTTCACTGAATTTCCTAACAAGAACGGGGCGGTTATCTCATACATAAATCCTAATTTTTTGGGTTAGAACTGACTAAGAATGTTATAGTGTTTATATCATATTTTTTATTATTATCTGTCCTTTTACGTTCCTGGTAGAACATGCAGGTTCAGTAGCATGAGGCTATTTCACTCTCTTCTCTCCAGTCTTTTCAAACCTGGCTCCACGATAGCCCACAAGCTCTCATTTCCTCCTCGCATGATCTCCTCCATGTCACCCTCGCCATGGACGCCCAACTCGTCGCCTCCCATCTGGGTTCCACTCGAGTGCCTGGCCTGACGCGTGATGTCTCCAGTGGGCCTTCTCAGTGTATGCCAATTCAATCCATCCCCACTTCCTTCCAGTACAATTAGGTAGGTAGGTAGGTAGGTGTGGGGTGGTAGGTAGGTAGGTAGGTAGGTAGGTATGTAGGTAGGTAGGTAGGTAGGTAGGTAGGTAGGTAGGTAGGTAGGTAGGTAGGTAGGTAGGTAGAGAGAGAGAGAGAGAGAGTAAAAAATCAACCCGGCCCGGAAAAAAAAGGTTAAAGATTGAGGGGAAATGTAGTTATCTGTATTATTCAACAGAAAGCAAATCAACTTGATTCGTGTACACATGATAACGGCCAACTAAACAACAACAACAACAGAACAACATGGATCAAGTAAAGAGCAATCGAAAATCAATACACTGCCTGAAGGTCAAAGAGGCTAATTCTACAATCCATAGAGCAATCATAAAGAACAAATTCGCTACCAACAGTAATAAGTGTTATGTAATTCAACTCATCACAAAGCCATACTGAAGTTTGGAGCTTTTCATCAAGAAACTACATGGATACAAAGGTTAAAACATTTAGCAATCTTGTGCACATTCGTGCAACAGGCGAGAATAAGTCACACCTACTATATGGTGGCTAATGATACTATACCTGGATATCCAAATCAACTTGGTAGTTCGGATGGGGTTCGAACTCGTGACCGAAACCAATAGGCTCCATTTGGATGTGAACTATTTTCCACCAATTGATTGTACACAGTTCACAAGAGAAGAACTAAGCCAGCAAATCAGTATTATGTAACTCAGTCATTCGGAGAGTGTAAAGACAATAAGTTCTAGTGACGTAATTAAATACGCCAATGATTGATGGGTCAAATGTTTCAGTCAAACTAGACAATCAAAGATACTAAGATAATCCCCGTACCTAAGTTAGGCACTCCAGACGCATGTCCGGAATTCCATCCGATTGCGATCACCTCTCCGTCCCTAAAAATAATGGAGAAGCTAATAATACTTGTGCGTAAACCCTCATTGAAGGCTTTCGGAGATCCTAATCAATTCGTATATAAGAGCAGAAGAAACAGTTTGTATGCCACCACTGTCTTATATCACGATATTGCTTATAGTCTTGATAGAAATGCCAAGTATGTCAGGTATGTCTGTCCCAAGACCAATTTCACTAACCGGGACAAATATTGAGTTCTGGATAATCAGGTGGCTGTATTCCTGTTTCTCTGAAACGAAACAACATACTGTGCACAGAGGGAAGCGTTCCATCTCATCGCTTACTGTGACTGATGTTTCTCAAGGAGTCGCCCTTTCCACCTGTTTTTTCTCTTTATTTCTGCATGACCTACCACCTTCACCTGGTATGCTGATGACGTCACAGTTTCCACACCTTACCTGTCTCCTCTTCTATAGATTGTTCCCAACTGAATGATTTCCTTTCTATCAAATGTTAGAAAATAGTCCTCCACGTATGGCTTTATGCTTAATTCTTCAAAATCTCAGGCTATACGCTATAGTTTCAGACGTGAGCATAACCTATGTAAACTGATAGTTCTGCACTAGAGAATGTTACATGTGAGTGTTTTTCTTCGGACCTCTTCTGGTTTTCTCATATCTCACTAATTTCCAAAAGAATTTTCCACCTAACTTTCTATATTAGGAAGCTGAGAGTATCTGGTATAAGGCAGTCTCTCCTCTTGCATTTCATAGACTTCAGCATCTTGCCTATTCTCCTCTATTGTTCTCCTTTATTCTTTCCTGGGTTGCTGAAAAAAGACTATGCTGTATTGTGTAGAACTACGGAGATTGTCAGCAGAAGTAATGATGTACCACCAAACCTCATAGTTAAAATAGTTATGGACAAACATCTAGTAGGAGTTATTTTATCAGATGACCACCATCCTCTTCATTCAAAGCTTTCTGTGTGTCGGTCATCTGAAAAGATGAGGAGCAAGTACATAAGACTTTATGCACGTATTACAAAATATAAAAACTCTACAAAAACCGTACATCTTTAGCTCATCACCTGTGCAATGAGTGAAGAGGGTGCTAGAGATGATCCAACTAATCAACTTTCATTTCTGACAGCAAACTAAGTGATGATGATGACGACCGTGTTAATATTTACGTATTACAAAACCTAATTGTTAATGTGATTGTCTACTATTTTCAAGTAAATTATAGATGAAGTGAATATTCTTATCTTTTATGTGTAAATCATTTCTATTTACTTCATCCTACTATGTATTCATGTATTATTTGTCCCTTGGATTCCTAGAGGAACGTAGGGCTTCAGTAGAACGTCTCCATTACACTCTCTTCTCTCCAGTCTTTCCAACCTGACGCCACGAAGAGAGGAAACACAGAATATCATCAGATAATCCCATAAAGCTTGGCATTCAGATCAGTCAATCAGCAATTAACAGATGTATAGATATAGGCTGAATCTATCAACCAATAAGAAGGAAGGATAAACGACAGAAAGGTCAGAGGTCAAGCAAAGGAACAGCCAACAGCAAAATCTATGCAGTCAGTCAATGACACAACAATCGAAGGAAACAACCAATCATAAACTAGTTGGTCAGAGCAAGCTACTGAATCCCTTATGGAGAGATATTGACAACTCACTACTTTATACTGAAGTCAATGCTGACGATGTCACTGTCTACAAAGATGATGAAAGCTGTATGACTAAACAATCCAGCTTCTCAGAGAACACAATACAACCAAGAATTTGTGAATGTAGATGTGTAAAGCTTGTCTGAAGAGAATTTCATCGAAAATATGTAAACATTTTAAAAACCTTTATTCATTCCTTCTAGCATTTCTCATCCATTATTGTCGACTTCAATTTAATTCTACTTTGATTCATGTTCACTGTGAAGTGTGATAAGTTGAGTTGATGCAATTGTGTACATTGATTTATTTCATGTTCACAATGATGAACAGGAAATAAATCATATTGAAACAACATCCTCAAAGCAAACATAATAGAAGTAAGAGATTAGGGGATCATAATACTTCACTTTCTTAATGATAGATAACCTTTAGTTGAGTATTCTAATCTACCATACTGTTTATTGAAGTCCTGAATTCCATTAAAACTTCCGAAATTCGCTAAAGCGGCAGGACCAGATGGAATCCCACCACAAGCACAGAAACTAGACGCAGAGACAACAGTGGACAAGCTCTTACTACTACTGCAGAAGGTTTGCAAGGAAGGAAGGAAAGGTACCTGCCCTTTGATTGGAAAAAGCGTTACCTTGTTAAACACTCAAACAACGAAGAGAAATTGGAATCTAGTCAACAAGCTTATAGAGATTCAGACAAACAAATACAAGTGTATTATCACCTCAAGTCAGCACACTTCACACAAAGAACAAGTATGTATAGAAAAAAAGGGTGATTTTAAACTAGACAGAGTTGTATGAGAGAATGAACAAGTGGAAGAGAAATATTAGTGAAAATAATCAAGTTTTTTTTGGGAAAATATCATTCCCAACGTCTTGGTAACACCAGCCAGGCAATTTACATCTCGTCCATACATTTTCTACCTACTCGTAAGTGAATTGGATTGTGTCTACTACTGAGTTTATATGTGTCAGGAAATTGTAGATGTGTTCCGATTTCAACACAGTAAACGTGTCATCCACATATCGCGATATATGAGGTAGAAAATAAACAAGGAGAATTACGTAAATTGGATTGCAAGATAAAACGAAGGATAGACGATGGTCTACAGGAAATCAACACTTTCCAACAGGTAGGTATCTAGACTTCAAGTCATCCCATCCATTGTCAGTCAGTGAAGGTAGGCTTACTTAAATGTCTAAGTGTTAGAGCTAGAAAACTGATTAATCAGTGCAAGGATCCACACAAGGAACTGAAACACATAAAAGAGGCGCTACTAGGTGATAATTATCCTCTACAGTTTATCAACGAATTCGTACGAACACACAAGAAACGAAAAGATCACAGTCACACGAGTATGAGTAATAACGGTAACACGAGTAGGAAGGAGTTCACAGCCTCCATTGTGTTACCCTACAACAAAGGCACATCAGAAACTGTACGTACGATCCTGAACGAAGTTGGAATTAGAATGGCATTGATACTTACAAACTCACTCAGAGATAAGCTTTAACGGCTGGGCTAAGGATCCGATAGAACCACGTAATTATTGTGAGTCAGGTCAAGTACATTGGTAAAAGTAGCCAATCCGAGTCAGTTAGAATAGCCGAACATAGAAATTTAGCTGAATGTAGAATGACAGACCCGAATAAGATGAACAATCTAGAAAATAACTCAGCCATTACAATGCACACATTAACACACAACCACACACACCATATGGTGGGTGGGATAAGACCATGGTACTTAACTACAATATAATTAGGTGAACAGAGAGTGAGAGAGATTGGTTAGTGAATCTCTGTTCATCGAATCGACCAACACCCTACTGATGTAATAGGAATGATGACGCAACCCTGTAGCAGATATATGGACAATGTTTACTACCATTGGTGGATGACAGGACCATAAAGATCAGACATCGGAAGTTGAGTGTGATCACTATGATATGATGATCAAGTAAATAATACTGTATCACCCATTGTGTGATATGAGTTTCACTTCCTTGTTTACCTCGTTCGACTGACTGGTGAGTTTTCCAGCTCTATTATATTTAGACATTAGACTGAAGCTGACTTCACTGACTGACATTGGATGGGATGACTTGAGGTCTAGAGATACCTATTAGATTATGTTGGTTTCCTGTAGACGGTGAACAGTATTCAAACCACTGACTTCTGTCCTTCTTTTCACTGTGGAATCCAACATAGGTAATTCTCTTTATTCATTTTCTGCCTACTCATAAGTGAATTGGTGAGTTAGATGAGAGGAACATCGGAATTCAGCTGAATATATATATAGAATGACAGAGCAGGATAAGATGAATAATGTAGAAAGTAAGTCGTCTATTGCAATGCATGCACATGTGCACACAACCACACACACATACACATACACACACTATAGGGTGGGTGCGTGGGATAGAACCACTGTATTTAACTCCAATATAACTAGGAGGAGAGAGAGGGGGGGAGAGAGAGATTGAATAGTGAATCTCTGTTCATCGAATCAACCAAGATTCTATTGATGTAGTAGGAATGATGACGCAATATTTGTGCCAGAGATTTGAAGAATGTTTACTATTAATAGGAACAAATCATATGCGGTGATATAACTATAAAAATCAGGCATCGAAAGTGCTGTATAATTACACATTGATATGATTATGAGCAGTGATAATTTACGCCAAAAAAACTATCACCAAGTAAACAATACTACATCATCTATTGTATGCTATATAATAATCAGATAAACAAATCGAATCTGGAAATTAAATTTAACTATAGTATCCAAGTTTTATACCCTATATTAACTGGGTTTTCTCACTTGAAAGTAACATTACAACAATAAAATTTTGAGGGGGTTGTGGAGATTTGGAAATATTTCAAGTTGTTATTCATCGAAGACTGACATCAGTTGGAGGATCAAAGGAAACCTGGGAGCACTGGACAGCTGTTTCGTCCTAGTATGGGACTCCTCAGCGATGACATTGGGTGGCGGTTTGCGCTATATCGTGAGGTAACAGAAGTTGGAAATATGGAGCATTGGATTCTGACCCAGTGGCTAGCTCAATGGTAACGCGCTGGTCGCGGAACCTGAAGGTCGCGGGTTCGATCCCTGCTGGTGGTGTCGTGGGTGCGCACTGCTGAGGAGTCCCATACTAGGACGAAACAGCTGTCCAGTGCTCCCAGGTTTCCTTTGTTCCTCCAGTTGATGTCAGTCTTCGATGAATAACAACTTGAAATTACAACAATAACAAATTAAGAGAAAAAAAAAGCAGGCAAAATAAAACTTACAGTTTTAATTAAGCGTACAACTTGTAGATCAATTAATGTCTCCAATTCTGCTCTACATCGATTATCCCATATTAAATAGGGTGTTACAGAATTTGTTGTCAATAATTTAGCTAATGAACGTAAATACTTGCCTCTTGGTGTATCAGGAGGGAAATTGTGTAGAATTTGTGAATCACTACTACTGCCTGATCGACCCACTTGACTTGAATCGTATACATTCAATTCTAGAATTTTACGAGCTAAATGCGGTGTCAATAGACGACTTAACGCTTCCATAACATCTGGTCCTTCACGTACTAAAAAAGTATTTTCTGTAATTTCACAACCAGTAGAATAACCATTGACCATTCGACCAATAGCCCATAAAGATAGTAAGGCTAAACGATTAGCAACTACCTGAAAATCATAAAATTTATTAGGGTTGGAAAATATTTCAAGTTTCTCGTTATTCATTAAAATATATACATTGAATTGGAATGAAGAAAAGAACGTAACAATCAATAACTGTATGCAAAAGAAAGGACACTACTAAAACAATCCGACAGTCTTTATCATCAATATCAACATAGCACTAGACATTACTGTGTAACTGTCCGACTTCCCACCACACCTCATATCAGTAGTACATCAAGTAAAAAGGCAGTGAGGCGCAAGATGAAGATAAGAGAATGCAGTCAAAAGAAATATAAAGTACGAGAAGAAAGAATGACAAAATGGTGGGATTCGTTAAGATGAGAATAATGTGTGTGGGGATACATCTGCACCACTGACATCGGTTCTCAGCCATGTGATCACCTAGAGTCTTCAACCATCGGTTCCTCTTGTCCCGCGGACCACAACCACCTAGTCTGCATCGCCCCTCTACGTGGCTCAAACCAACAGTTAGAGACTTCATACATTGGTGCCATCTTTCAGTCTGGCCACCTCGAGCCTTTTTCCAGCCTCAACCTTCTTCGGCCAACATTGTGTGATGAGGCAATCGGTGACTAAGCATACGTAATACATGTCCTAACCATCTCAGTTGATGAAGGTTCACAACCTCATCGACTGCCTTACCTCTTCTCCCTAAAACTCTACACCTGACTTCTGCGTTACTCATGTGGTGACACCATGGAATACGGTCTACACCACGAAGGCGACGGTGGTCAAACACCTGAAGCCTTCTCATATTTTCCACCTTCAATGGTCATGCTTCACAACCATACAGTAGAACAGACCGGACTGCTGTGCAGTACACACCACCCTTAATAGACAAACGGACAGTCTTAGTGATAAGCAATACACATACCCTTCACTTCATTGAACTCAATATGCAGTAAAGATGATTAACTGATGGACATACTGCAGAATTATTAGTTCATAGGCATTAATTGAAGAAGCAGTGATTACCGTGAAACACACTGGAAGGCTGATTTATGCCAATTTGAGATTTGTCTAAATTTTAAGGCTTGGATGCCATCTACAATTCCAGACGTGTTAAAAATTCTATGAAAAGTTTGTGATATTCTTCCTTTGCAAGGCCTTGGACATCTCTTCACTTGTGTTAACGCGTCCCTTATCATACTACTATTACTACTTTATTGTCTGTGTTCTTAAGAATTTTTTGATGAACTTCACGAGATAACTATTGACCATAGACAGACAGACAGACAGACAGACAGACAGACAGACAGACAGACAGACAGACAGACAGACAGACAGACAGACAGACAGACAGACAGACAGACAGACAGACAGACAGACAGACAGACAGACAGACAGACAGACAGACAGACGACAGACAGACAGACAGAGACAAAATCAAAGTAGAACGTTGTATATAATACGTGCATTAACTCAAGTTCCCACATTTCGAGGTAGCGAACAAAGAGCGAGTGGATAGAAAAAGAGTAAAACATGTCCAAGATATCTCAATCGACTTGCATATCTTGCCCAGAACCCTTCGCATGACTTTGACACTGCTCACATGATGATTCCACCAAACGTGAGCAATGCTATGAAGATATATATGATCAGAACCTTGTAATCTCTTCAGATCTTCTGTTTTCAAAGGCCAAGTTTCACAGTCGTACAAACGAACAGAACAAACTATACTTCAGTATCCTTGTTCTTTGATTTATAGTTGGATATTTCGCAAGTTGATAGCATTCTGTATTCAAGCTGAGAATTCACCAGCAATCAACCCATTCAAGCTGATGCAACTCCTCAAGTAAGTGAAGTGGTCGACACATTAGACCAGTTCCTGGAGCAACACCTTACATTTGACAAGTACGAAACGCATGTGAAACATACTCATATTTTTGCATCCACTAGGTAAATAGGGCACATTAGTGTTTCGATTCCCCATTTGGATATCTTGATTCGCCAGTGAATGTGCCTACTCCATTATTTTAACACCTAAATAAACCCATTTTGATTGATATTGAATGATTTAATCTGAAGTCTAGATATCTGTTAAAACATGTTGGTCTCCTTAGTAAAGGAGCGAAAGTTTGGCATTGTGCTAGATTGTAATGCAATTTTAGTCTGTTTATTAGATATATCACAACAGTGAAGGAACAGTGCCATTCACTGAATAACGTACATCTTGGACACAATTTATTGTCCATATTCATATCAGGTAACTAACTCCACAACTTCGAGAGACACTTTACATAGTCCTCATTCTCTATCCTTCCTCGTAATGAATGACAAGGGTAGTTGAAGTTTCCTTATATCTGGGATAGGCACAGAATCATTTCTATTACTGCATGGTATTTGGTGTTGATTCGATAAAGAAAGATTCAGTCGGTAATCAATCTATCCCTCCCTCCCTCCCTCCAACCAACCAACTAACTAAGTTGTTAGTTCTGAATACTGTTCACTCTTCCCACCCTACCGTGTCATTGTATATATATAATCTCATAATTTCTTATCTTATCACCATCTACTAATCTTTATTTACCTAAGCCTTTGTGTTCTGTTATTCCAATGAACTCTGGTCGACTACTTTGTCCTGGTAATCATTACAAGGGATTTGGTAAACCAAATTATTTTGCCCATTTGTATTAATAGGAGGATCTTTTAACCTACGAAGCTTGTTTGTAAGTGATTTTGTGTGTTTAAATGCCACTTTGATCCCTCCCAACAGCCTTATTGAGAATTCTTCCAAATGCTTCTGAGATGCCTTCCTTGTATGCTAGTACAGCAGAGGTTTTGAATTCTTTCTCAACCCTGTCACCATTATTACTATTAGTAGTAGAATTTATTATGAGTATATGGATTCATTTATAAATGTAGCTGGGTAATTATTGAAACGTGTAAGGTATTCTTGATGTATCTAATTTGTGATCGTAGATTACCTGGTTTACTAGTAAACTTTTTCGCCCCCATCACTTAAGCATTTAACTATGCCTACTTTAACTGAGATGGGATGGGAGGATTTGAAGTTTAAGTAGCGATTCGAATGGAAAGGTTTTCCATAGATGACACTAGTCTGTAAACTTCCATCTTGTGTTCCTTTAATCTTGCAATCTTAAACCCGCTAGCTCACTTTCATCACTTTCCAAGTCATAGGTAAATGGGATTACATTCACTCCTGAATTTATATATGTGAAGAACCTATTGATGTGTTCCGATTTCCACATTGTAAGTGTGTCATCTACATATGGGGAACATATTTTTGGAGTAGGATTAAATGTCTGAAGAGCCATCTGTTCCCAACTATCCATAAATATGTCTGCGACGATAGGGGATGTTGGTGATCCCATGGCAACACCTTTAGTTTGTTGATATATTTTATTTTGTAACTTAAAAACTGTAGATGTTGCTCACAATCGTGCCGTTGGCATGCTTTCTTCAATTGACACCTTAGTTCGATACGTAAGCTCATTGTGACAGCACCTCAAAAGCTCTGTGAAAAATTCTCAATAAGGCTGTTGGGAGGGATTAAAGTGGCATTTAAACACACAAAATCACTTACAAACAAGCTTCGTAGGTTAAAAGATCCTCCTATTAATACAAATGGGCAAAATAATTTGGTTTACCAAATCCCTTGTAATGATTACCAGGACAAAGTAGTCGACCAGAGTTCATTGGAATAACAGAACACAAAGGCTTAGGTAAATAAAGATTAGTAGATGGTGATAAGAGAGACCTGACGACATTGTATCAAATAACCAGGTTGCTATCAGGGAAGAGACCAACACAGATGAAACCAATAAAAGATGAAGAAGGAAATTTAATTACAAAAGAAGAGAAACAGAGGAAACGATGGGCCGACCACTTCAAGAAGCTCTTGAATCGACCACCACCTGCACTTCGTCCAGAAATACCACCAACACCACACCCGCTGAACTACAAGTGAACATAAATCCTCCAACGAAAATGGAAGTCCTGAACGCCATAAAGCTACTGAAATGCGGGAAAGCAGCAGGACCAGATGGAATACCGCCAGAAGCACTGAGAACAGATGCAGAGACAACAGCGGACATGCTCACACCACTATTGTAGAAGGTGTGGAAGGAAGAGAAGGTACCTGCCTATTGATTGGAAGAAGGGTTACCTTGTCAAACTGCCGAAGAAAGGAGACCAGTGCTTGCAAGAACTGGCGCGGAATCACTCTCCTGTCCACCCCAAGTAAAATATTAAGCCGCATCATCCTGGAGAGGCTTAAAGATGCACTGGATTCAAAGCTGCGACCGGAACAGGCAGGCTTCAGGAAGTACAAATCATGTGCAGACCAAATTGCAACGCTTCGCATCATCATAGAAGAGAGTATAGAATGGCAATCAGCTCTCTGCCTCAACTTCATCGACTTTGAGAAGGCCTTTGACAGCGTCGACAGAGAAGTAATTTGGAAACTGCTTCAATACTACGGAGTACCGCAAACCTTTATCGGCCTCATTCAACAACTATATGAAGATGCCACATGCCAAGTAATCCACAATGGGAAGCTCAGTGATGCCACTGAAGTGAAGTGAAGACAGGAGTGAAACAAGGTTGCCCACTATCCCCCATGATATTCCTTATTGTGGTGGACTGGATCATGAAGCAAACAGTAGGCAGCGAGAAGAGGGGGATACGCTGGACGACGGAAAAGAACCTAGAAGACTTGGATTTCGCCGATGACTTGTGCCTAATGTCACATAAACTTGAAGATCTGCAGGCAAAAACTAACAAGTTGATAGAGGAGGCAGCGAAGATGGGACTTCAAGTGAATATACAGAAGACAGAGGTGTTGAAGATACCTCACCACCACCATCAACAACAACAACAAACTCCAATCACCGTCAACGGGAGAAACTTGAAGGAAGTAACCTCCTTCACTTATCTAGGAAGCACTGTTTCAACTACAGGCGGGACGGACGAGGACGTCAAAGTCAGAATCGGAAAAGCAAGACAGGCGTTCATTAGCC